GCATGCGTTCGCGCGCATGCTAAAACAAAGAGCGCGAGCATACATGCATGCGCGGTCATGGGGGGGGGGGGGGGGGGGACAAGGCGTTGTTCTTTTATGACATCCTAAAGCCATTGCCTCGCCTAAATCGATAGTGAATGTATACGACAAACATTTAATCGCGTACGAAAACCATATTAGTATGGTAGACTGAGGTAAGTTCAGTCTTATGTCGGGCTAGTTTCAAGGGCCTTGTAAAGGTACGAAGCCGACGCGGGATAGCTCTTAAGAGTCCAGAATAACCAGACAACACCTGGATCAACTGAACGCTGATGTAGCAATCGTGAACCGAGCTATTTCGAGGAAGTTTGCCGCCACGCACGACCAATGCGCAAACGTTTCTCCACAGCGACATCTCCGAAACAATACGTCTCGGGAGCTTTCGAGAAGAGAGTCCTTTCCTACATAAAACGCTAGCAACACTGTTGCGGACTCCCCTGTCATAAAACCGACATACAGAGATAATGTCGTGAAACAAAGTCGACGGTTGCCGCGTCTGCCTCCATTGTTTAAGCCATCGCTTTAGCATTAAAGCTAGCCGTTCAACGAATAGTATATTCGGCGGCAACAGTTAATTAGAAATGCAACGAATTGCATTTCTAATTAGAGCCTATTCACACAAGCGCTAAACGTTTGCAAACAACGCGCGAAAACATTATTAAAACGACCAATTAACTCTACGCGGGACGTGTGGCGGTGTGAAAAATTACTGCCATCAAAACGCCGTATCCTCATTAACCGTCGAGTTTAGGAATAAAACGGACCCGTGTATTCGCCGGTTAAACACTTCGCGAGGGACATGACGTACAGACCGATTTAACGACTGCCCCAAAGAGAAGGAAATCTTAGTACCTACATAATTATGATAATTTCTTGTATTTATTTGATTACTAATAACTACCTAAATGAAACAACCACCTCGTTTGCTAGGGTTCCGAACCGAAAGGGTACTAAGACACTATTACTAAGACTCCGCTGTCTGTCCGTCTGTCACCAGGCAGTATCTCTTGAACCGTGATAGAAAGTTGAAATTTTCACAGATGATGTATTTCTGTTGCCGCTATAAGAACAAATACTTAAAAACAGAATAAAAAATATTTAAGTGGGGCTTCAGAAATAATTTTTTTACTATTCAACAGAAATAATTTTTCTGGCGTTTTTATAGATGGCCGTTTTTTTTTAATCAGTCAGATGTAAAACCCCTAGGTGTCCCTTGACCACGAGCGCTCAAAAGGGTACGAAACGCGAGGGTAAAAATGGTTTCATTTAGTCATATGTACCATAAGCAATTTCTTTGGCCGAGATGTTAATCCTTTGTTACAAAAATGTTTTGGTCCTTTGTCTCATAATTTGTATGCACCGTCTTGTTCTCTGAACCAGTTTTCATTATTAAAACAGAAACGATATCTCATCGCGGTCGATATAGACTGGCGAAATATCGATTTTGAAGATTGATCAATCTCTGTGAAAACGAAAAAAAAATGCAAGCAGTTTGAATTGGCTGTTAACAAGATAGATTGATTGATTGATGACATTCATTACCATTTTATTTAAGAACTAATCAAACCCTACCTGTTAAACTAGTAAAGGACAGTAACAGGCTGTCCCACTTGTGGACAAAGGCCTTGTCTATACATAGGTTGACATAACCCAACAACAATAACAGTGATAATAACAAGCCCCACCCATGTTAAAGTAATTGTTACTTATATAAATCATGCCACCGGCTGTTAGTCTATCAGACAACAAAACATGTAAGCCAACCCTAATGACACCGTATGATAATCCTCACCGCAAATTAATTGTCCCGTGTACAAACTGTATAGTTAATTGGTTTCATTACTGAAAATTCGCAAAATAACTGATGTCATACATTTGAAATTTATACATGTATTATTATTTGTTTTCAAATGGCTATTTACCATGTACGAAGTCGATTTTAATGTAGGCAATGATTTATTATAAGCAGATTTTAGGTACTAAATACCTACATAACTATTTGACATCCCGGATGATAGTATCACAAGTTGCATAATACTTCAATAAAAAGAGACTATACAAATTGTATTTTGGTAAAAAAATATCGATCTTTTAAAGCCTATAATGGAATAAAAATGCCGTAAAAATAATTAAGTCATTTTGACATCTTAGTTTGCTAGCAGCTAGCAAACTTAGTGATGTATTATTTTTTAAGTTTATTAGGTCTGCTTAACTGAATACAATGTAGCATGATTACTAAAGAAATATACACAGAAAATAATATATGTATATATATTATTAATATAATTCTAGCGGTCAAAGCATATACCCCTTTCAATCTTCGATAAATCTTATAGCATGCTTGAGACATTTCTCATAAAGAAACGAAGACCATAAATTATTAAATTTCTTCTATAAAATATATAGTTATTATATAAAATATATAGTATTATTTAGTTTCATAAATGTTTTTTCATGAGGTCCTATTAATAAAACATTATTAAAGAGATACATGTCTATCTATTATAAATGATTAAATAAAGTATGATCAATATTTATATTTTAAAAAGACCTTAAAGTTATTTTGTTTATTTTTTGACATAGATATATAAAATATTAAACTATATCAAAGAATTTGTCCATGGTATTAAAGTTGGAAACAATTTTTTCAACTGTAAAACGGTTGTAACTAACAATTATTGAATTTTCTCCATGGACCATTAATTAATTACATTTTGTATGGACATAGACCATGTAATTACATTATTGAATTGATTGAATTGGCTTCATGCACTATTTATTACTTTGTATATCTTGAACAATAGTCGGTTTAACAATGGAAAGCCATAGCAAGGATCCTAGCATAATTATGCATGTAAAACAGTGCCAATAGAGTATATCATTCAATATATATGTATATAGTTTAATTATTATCACAGAATATGTTTGTCTTCTGTACACAGAAGGGAAATTAGACTTCGCACTTAAAGAGATTACAATGTGCTTTACGAATAAAAATTATAGGCTTTCATAGATTTAGCATTATGAAGGATTCTAAAAATATAATCTTTTCTAAAAATAAAATATAATCTGGAGATAATTAAAATTACCAAAAAAAAATTGTGGAATTATTTACATAATTTTGGTTATTTTTAGTATTAAAAATAATGTGAGTACATTTAACTTTATAATATTAATTGTAAATCAACAATTTTAAATACATGAATTTTTTGAAGTTTTGGTTTTAATTATAATAATCTGATTGAAAAACAATAAACTTATAAAGCCACAAAAAGTATAATTTTAGTATTAAAAAATGCAAGATTGGCAACTAATCAAAAACATCATTGCAACAATTTTAATATCATATGATTATAAGATAACAGCCTCATTAAAATTATATTAAAAAGATAAATGATAAATCGCCGCGATACGCTAAGTACTGGAATAATGAAATGAGTAATATAAAAAAACGTTCTTCATCCCGCGGTCGTGTGTTTTAATTAAATGAGGTGGTTAAAAAGACTGAGCTAACGTGAGTTTACGACGTAGGTGCCCTTTGAAGGGGTCTGAACACCCCATTTCGCAGTAAAACTGCGCGTTGCAATATAATGTACAAAGTCAAGGCCAGACGTTCAATTTGCTCTTTCCGAATATAGGTACACGGATAACATCCACATCGTGTGGGGTCCCCCACGGTGCGTAGAGAAAATCAATATCGTTTAGCAACGAAGTCTGCATCACCCGAAATTGGTCTACGAGTGCACTGGGAGCGTATTTACTCTCACTTACAGCGGTTTCTCATTCATAAAAGCTGTAATGAGAGAAAATTAACTAATCGATTCACCCGTGTCATTGCCGTGTTTACGTTCCACATAGATCAAAAACAATTCAACAGCAATCGAATAATAAACACAGGTATTGCGAAATAATGAACAATCATTGTGTAAATAGAGCAGCGCGGTACAGATTTATTTATTTTTGTATGTACAAGAAAGCTCCACGGTTTAATGAACCCGAAGCACTTACCTCATTTTGATGCACGTATCCTTTGTCGAGATCAATCCTTATGCACTACTATTGCACTACACGCGACAATTGTTCACTTATAAACTGCATATTTTCACAGACACCAACGTACATCGCACTTATTATCGACTTACGGATACGTTTGGCATCGGGGTGGCCATTTTCATGTCAAAAGCGCTTTTGAATTCACGTCCCGTTTTCACCCCGGACGAGAGCGATGAGCGAGAGGACGCTAGCACTGCGCCGAGACCAAGAGCGAATTAAAAAAATTAGCTCACAGTACCGTCAAGCAGTTCTTCAATGGACATACCATAAATGTTGATGGGAAACAATGACCACGAGCTTATTTCGCTACGATAGCTTTAGTCCGAAGCTGTATTGTGTACAATGTACCTACGATACGTTCGAATGCATCCCCCCACTGACCGAGCTTAAACTACGGTACAACGTGTGCGATTCGGTGCGAGCCCGGAAATTAAATTTACATTTTCGTTCCTATTTGGCTACACTCCCAACTTGGTCGTATAATAACTCTGCTCGTCGTCGTCCAATCACCTCTCACGACACTATTGTCTTCTTCCTTAGTTGGTACGAGTAGTGCCATCTACCGTACAATACGTCTGACAATTCATCGATGAGTCATTTAATAATTGCAATCTCTTTCTCTCACACATAGCAACACAGTCGACGATTTTACCTCAATAATGGTCGATTTAAAATATATGTGTTTTAATAGTAGACCATAAATAGCACTTTTTGATGATACGAAATGTCAAAAAAATTTAGGAATGAAAAATGAAAGATATACATTTTTTTTTTTTTTGAGAATTTATCATAGCAACAATTTACGGCTATGCGTCAGTCAATCAATCTGACAATCAAGAAGCTTTCCGAAAAGAGTTCATCCTGTTTTCCATTTGATAAACAGTTCCATTTTCGAAAACACTAAAAGGATGGTGGGCGCGATGCCTGTTAATTTAATGCCAAAATTTTGCAACGGCACGATGGAGAGCTGTAACGGCGTGGAGGATGAAATGCAAGTGTCTATTGGTAGCAGAGTGAAGAGTGGTGATGATTTTGGCACGGTGAAATATATCGGTGAGGTGCAGGGGTATAAAGGGATCTGGTACGGAGTGGAATGGGACGATGCTTCGAGGGGAAAACACGATGGATTCGTTGATAATGTGCAATACTTCAAGACCACGAAACCAGGCGCAGCTTCCTTTGTGCGTCCCAACAAAATAAATCCGTGCAGAACTTGCGCGGATGCCATTCGGATGTATTACGGTGATCGTGAGGTAAATATTTACCGTGTTTTAATACTAATAGGCCCACATTTGGTGAATGCAAGGTCTAACACCCACACATTAAAATGGCAATGTATTGTAGCTCTGAAGAAATCAACAACTAGTAAACTTACATTAAAGTTGAACTTATTCAAATATAATGTATTGGCTTTAATTACATATTTATTTTGGGTTGGGTTTTGAATCAAGTCGGCTGAATTCAAGTACACTGTAAGTTAAGGAGGTTCGTACCAAGCACTCTAACGAATTTTCTGCCGGATACGCGTAAAATATTTAATTAGATTTTTTTTTTAAATTTACAAATCTTACGAAACGTGAAATGGAACGTGTCAGTGTTTTTGGATATGTATAATAAAAAAAATTTAAACGATAGAGAAAAGTCACTAATGAATTAATCAACAGGCAGAAGTCTCCCGTCGCATTCAGTTTATGAGAAAAGAAATTATTTAAAACTTGTTATTTTTACTAAGAAACTACGCACATTTTATTAATTTTAATAAAACTGCATACACACTACTGCCAACACGATAAATATAGGAAGTGGGAGACTTCATACTCGTACCATTTGTCCGATAAATTTTTTTTTTTTAATTAAATGAGTTGCTGATTCGACACAGAGCAATCCGACTCGGACAGATTAGGTTAGAAGGTTCAGGCGGGAGCTCAGCTCCCTTCTGATTCTGTTTATAAAAAAATAACCTTTGTGTTATTTGTTGTTACTATGCATCTCCGGTGGGGGAGGCAAGTGGGGGGTGACTCACCACATCACCCCCCCGCCACCCTCACCCACCCCCGGACCATCTACGAAGGCGACTCGTTCCAAAATTTTACCCTTTATTGTAATTATTTCATATATAAAATTTAGCTTTTGTACCACACCCAAAACTAGCTGATTGACCACAGAATCTACGAAGGCGACTCGTTCCAAAAAATTTTGTGTACAGCCTTATACTAAGAAACAGTCTTCATCCCACATTTAATGCACATTGTTCCTCATATAATACACCTTGTGTACCACACTACTGAAAGAGTAATATAAATTACAGAAGTTAATTCAAATAAAAAATTCCTAGAAAATTCTATTTTTCTCTTAATTAAACTGGACAAAAATGAATTGGTAAGGCAACTGACGCTTAACAATTCATTTTTATGATATTGGTGTAAGCAAAATTTCTAATATCACGATACTTGAGTTCTTTGCTACTGTGCATAGCATAAATAATCTCCCAGACGAATGTGGCCCTCCCACTCATTTGCCTCTTTAAAAAAGTGCTTGTTCGGGCTGTTAAGGTGTGTTTCTGCTGCAGTTCCCTGAACGAAAATTCCGTAGGACTCTTGTATCCTACAATATTCCTTCAATTTCATGGAACTGGCTTGATATTGATCCCTTGGCAAAAGCCCACCTTTTAACAAACATGAGGTTATTTTTCATTATGTATTTATGCCATTTGATGTACAAAATTGTAGATATTATTTGATGTAACTAAATACTCTTTTCATCTTCATTAAATACACATAAAAACATATTGAAACACTCTATTTGCTCCCTCATACTTTTTCATTCATATTATTTATTATGCTAACTTTACAGATCTTTCATTGTGAAGTTAAACTTTTGTTGTTAATTATTAACTTTAAGTGCCTTTAATACGCTATCAACCATAGTTAAAATTATAAAGTTAAAATATAATGTTTAGGATGAAACAGTAGCCGCACATCGGAGAACAGTTATCAATGAATGGAAAAGGGAGATGGGAGCGCCTTTCATTGAAATGGTTGGTTTTGAGAAGATTCATCAAAAGCAGTAAGTAATAAATTAATAAAATACGAAAAATCAATCATGGTGCCGCCGCCAGAAGTGAAAATGGTGGTGAAGATTGTAATTTAAAAAGGTAAAATTGATATTAACAACAAGAGAATTATCTCTTTATTATTTTTATAAATGTTACAGCTACTTAAGTCTGTCAAATAATATTTTTGCTTAAAGATACAACAGCCTTTCATTGTTGATTACTGGTAATTTATTATAATTTGTTGAAAAATTGGATGAACAGTTTTTCGCTGCTTCCGAAATCGAATCCACATCTTGCTCAGACGCTTTAACCACTTAGCTAGACAATGATTGCCACACCGACGAAAATCCGAACGTATTTTATCGACATTTTTTTCGCATTTAAAGCAATGCCTCTATTAATCTCCTTTACAGCAGGCAAACAATTTCAAATATCGTTTGACAACGGTGATTCAAAAAAGAGATGTCATCATTGCTATTTGAAATTCAAACTTTTATTGCGCTCATGTCCGCACTTAAGATGAAACATTAAAATCAAATTAAAATCATCTTAAGTGCATAAAATAGGCGAAAATCGCCTAGTAATTTCCGATGACCCAGAAACATGAAATTCGACCATAACTAAAATTTCCCACTTACTAAATAAAAAGCACGAGACAAGATCCACAAATTGCTTATTTACTACCCATTTGAACCTAAAGAGTTTCTACTGTTTTGTCAAAATAAATCAACTTACAACAATGCAATTTTAAGGAAGTTCGACCGCCTCCTAGAAGTTTGTGTCCACGACCAGAACGTCGCCAAGGCGGGCGACGTGGCCTCCCTCTGTCCAAACGTCCGCAGCCTCGACGTCTCCAGCAATCTGTTCTCCAACTGGCGCGAGGTCATTCAGCTGTCTGCGCAGCTTCCAGATCTTAAGGAGTTGGATGTCAGGTGAGCTGATTTCATCTCAGGCAAAACCTTGTCTTACCTCTGAAACCTTTGGATAGTTCCCTAGATCCTGTATAAGTAGTTCAACTTATGTTTAATCAACTCACAGAAGACCGACGTGAAGTGGAAGTAGTCCTTTCGCGTTTCGTCTGGTGGATGAAGTAACCTTGACCCACTTTTTAATGATTGCAATGGAAGAATCTCCTTTCATCGAGAAAGGAGATTCTTCTTTTCAGCATTTCATATTAATTGACCCCTCGCACCCAAAACCTATAGCTGATACCAAATACATATTCCCCTCAAAGAAGCGGCTGTTTCCAACTTCTCACAACACTAATTCTGCTGCAGCAAGAACCGAATGGTATAGGTGATGCCAAATACATAAAATATTCTCCACAAAGAAACTGCTAATTTCCAATTTTTCACATAAATAAAAACCCGTTCTGTTACAGCAAGAACCGAATGGCCATCGACATGCCGGAGGAGACCCTCTCCCAGCTCTCAATAAACTTCGCCAGCCTGGAGAAGCTGAACGTATCGGTCTGCGACTACGAGTGGTCCGACCTGGTGGCACTGTCCCACCTGTGGCCGAAGATTCGAGAAGTAGTCGCAGCGTACAACAGAATAAGCAGGCTGTCCGCCCCAGAGGTCACTCTACGGACCCTGGAGGTGCTGAGGCTGGACGGCAACCCGATCGACTCCTGGCACGAGGTCATGCAGCTCGGCACCCTGAGGAACCTCTCGACCCTCAGCCTGAACGACTGCGAGATCGCCGAGGTCAGGTTTAACGACGAGCCAGGCAACGCTAAAGTGGATTTGTTCGGAAAGCTTGAGGTGCTCTTCTTGAACAGGAACAGGGTCAATGATGTGAGTGTTGTGATCTGTTAATAGTTATTTAAAATTTGTAGAAAAAATGGACGAAAATTTTTTTGGAATTGAACCCACGCGCTCCCAGACGCTTTAATCACTAAGCTAAACGTCTGATTGCTACACGGACGATAATCTCAAAGTATTTTATTTACATTATTGCTAAAAATGAGAAAAAACAATCTGGATAAAATACAGCAGCAACAAAATTCGTCCATTTCTTCTACAAATTCTAATGTTTCGTCTTAAGTGCAAACATTAGCACTATATATGAAAATTAATATGTACTGCTCGTTTTAAAATTATTCATTTTGTGTCTACAGAAAGTGCTAGTTGAAACTTGTCTTGCAGTATTATTTGAGAGTGAAGGCTTAATTATATTAATGGAACAGTCCAAAACTGATTAAATCAAAGGTGAATGTGATAAATCAGTGAAAATATTTTCATGTGGCAATATTTAGTATTCACGTAATTGTAAGAAACCATCATTTTTGAGTTTGTAGTGTGTCACACAGAATGCCTTTGAATGGGTTGGTGTCTTGAAATGTACCTTTGGTACCAAGATAACCAAGGTCCATCTTCCTAAATTTGAAATACACAACACCCATGGGTCTGCCGTGGGTGTTCTGAGCAGCTTTGTTATACTCCAACAATCAAAAAAATGTATTTGAAAAGAAATATGTATAAATATCAATATTCTTATTAAAAAAAATTATAGATAAAATGTAAAACTATAGTCAATATATTTGATTGCCAGAATTTTGACCCAAAGCAACTTTTTTATTGCAGTGGCGGTCGATCAGCGAGCTGGACAAGTTACGGTGCCTGAGGAAACTGTATTTCCTGAAGAACCCCATACAGAACACCGAGGACTATGACACCACATCTCAGCTGATCATCGCGAAAATTGGCACACTACAGGTAATTCATATTTAATATAGTCGAATATTAATAGTCTTTTACTGACTAATATGATTTTCTTATATACTTCTAAATGGAAGTAACACTACAATTTAGATGTAATCTTTGGTGGTTAGATTTTTAATTTCTTTGGATAATCTATTATATATTTCAATTGTCGTGTAATACGGGCTTGTGTTCAACAAACCAAGTGAATATACATCCTCGAGCTCTGCTCATGTACAGTCCGGAAGAAATAGCTTAGAAATAACTATAAAATATCTATTATATGTTCACATAAGTGAATAGCAGTTTCTCGACTGACTTGATGTGCAGTGTGAGCAACGTAAAAGAAAAGGCAATGCTCTCCCTGCATACAGCATGAGACAAACACAGTGATTCATTTAAGATTAATTTCATAGAATTAGTAGAGTGGTTCATATTATTTTCAATCTTGTTCGATTTCCAGGAGCTGAACGGATCGATAATAACGCGGGAGCTGCGGAGGGGGGCGGAATACGACTACTTAAAGAGATACGGGGCTGAGTGGAAGGCGGCACAGGCTGATCAAGCGAGGAAGTTGGCCTTCGATCTGGAGCATTGTCGTTTCCAAGAGCTGATCAACAGTAAGCCGCTTGTTGTAATCCATTTGCTTTGGTTTTTTTTAATGTGACAAGGTGGAAAATGAGCCCAAGGACAAATGGACGACACAGCCGAGGGTGGTGTTAGGCCTTACCACAGTTTGTTTAGAAGCAAAATATCTTGCATTATTTCATTTTTTCTAAATGATTAACAGAATACGGCGTCCCAGACGACAGTCTGCTGGTGAAGCAACAGAAGAACACGACACTCACGTCGCAACTGCTCGAAGTTGTTCTTCGCGACGAGAGCGGGAAGATGCTGAAAAAGAAGTTCCCGTCCACGATGGCCGTGCAGAAGCTGGTCACGCTGGCGCAGAGGCTGTTCGCGAGGAGCGGCAGCCACGGCACCCCGACCCTCAACGTCCTGGACGATCAGATGCACGGCGCGGAGATACACCTGGACAACGCGATGAAGGACCTCGCCTACTACTCCATCAAGAGCGGCGACACGATCCTCGTCAGGTTCAGATAGTGCCCACGAGCGATCGGCACGTAAACGCGCGCTCGAAAAGGAAAAAAATGCAGTTAACATGGCAACATTAAATAAAAATAACGATTCGGCTGTTTAATTTCGATTGTTCAATTGTTTACTAAACAACGCTTTGTAAATATCTATGAAGATAATTGGAACTTTTCTATTTATTGCGATTTTTATTTTATTTTTTGGAAATAAAAAATCCTATATGTATTTTTTGTTACGTGTTTCATTGAGTCTACCGCATTTTAATCGAGAATAAAATATTATGTTGATCCATCTGTGACCTTTCAGTAGTTTACATTCGATACTGGAAGTATGGTCGGAAACCAAACACCTGTAGCCTTGATCGTAACCTTCCTGGTATAGCAAATCGACACAAACAGAGAAATTTAAAAGTAATAAAAAAATCATTCGCTCGTCGAAACAAAAAGTCGTTAATGCGATACAAGTACTCGCTCATAACTTTTAAGTCTTCAACCGTGCTTCATATTTAAACGCAAAAGTATTAAATAATAACTAAAAGACATTAAAGGTGTAGCTATAATAATAAAAAATAACAGAAATATACCGTAAAATAATTTTCCTCGAATGAGGTTACATTCCGTTCGAATACTGGTCACATCGATCTCGATCGCTATTGGTAACCGTTGTGTCAACAAAAAAATAAATGTTTACAAATGGCTTCTGGCGACAAATTCAAAGTGGCCGCTAGGTTATCGCGATTGAAAACTGCGCTGCGTACGTTTATTTGAGTGTTATTAATTTTGTTCAGTGATGGGTAACTGTTGGGCGTTGTTTCGACGTCGCAGAATACGCCGCCATATTGTTTTGATTTTAATCGGGCTCGATAACGCGGGTAAAACGAAAACCGTGAACAATTTGGCCGGCGAGAGGGACGATAAAGTTTTGCCCACGGTGGGCTTCAAGGCCGTCAATTTAATACACAAGGACACGCCGGTGACGATCTACGATTTGGGCGGCGGGCCGCAGTTCCGTCAGATATGGAGCCAGTACTACAGCGAGGTGCACGGGATAATTTTCGTCATCGACTCGAGCGACTTTTCGCGGTTGGACGAGTGCAAGGCGGTGCTGGAGGAGGTGTTATCACACGATAGAATATCAGGTGAACGGTCGACGATATTAATTTAAAAAAAATGCATTAGTAAATTTGGCTTTTTAAATTGACAGAAATCTGGTTGGTTATTTCAAATTGATAAATCATGTTTATTGCGAATTACATTCTTAACCGACTTCAAAAAAGAAGGAGGTTTCTCAATTCGATCGCATATATTTTTAAAGTCCTGAAAGACGCCCCATAGAATCACGAGGCCGTTTCATAATATTCTTTACACGTCTTTTATTTACATTGTTCTTTTGCATTGCTTAAAATGCGAAAAACCAATGTACTTAGCTAAAAAGTAGTTGAGATTTCCGTCTGTTTGGCAATCAGACGTTTAGTTTAGCGGGTAAAGCGTGTGGGCGCGAACCCGAAAGACGTGGGTTCGATTCCCGTAGCAGCGAAAAACTTCAAGCCTTTATTCTACAAAATTTTAAGATATCATCTTAATTCCAGAGATTAGCTGTATGCAAAAATTTAAATTTTATAATTTACACTTTTCTCTCAAAAGTATAAAGTACCTTTCAATTTCCAATATCTACTATACCACCCGCGACGCTTGACTAATTCATTTAGATACGGAGTCAGTGACGTCACCTGTGATGGTGTAGTTGAAAACAACAGTAAAAATTCTCGATATTATGTATTATTTCTATATTCCTTTATAGGCACCAGTGAGGAGCAACCTGGAATTAAAGCTTCCGCGATTTACTAAAGTACCTATTCAAAATATTTCATGATAAATAATTCGTTTGTAACAAAACTAACCCTCACCATTATAATTCTATTACATATTCTCGTCACGGTTCGTCAGCGAAATCAATTTTGAACGTTTCGCGTGTAAAATTGATCGCACCAATCAAGATAATAATATTAAAACAACTATTTTTAAACTGTTATTGAATAGGTGCGAGTGATAAGAATATAGTTATTTGTTATTGCATATAATACTTTATTATTTCGTAAAATTTTATTATAAAAAACAACATGCCATGTTTTTCACTTTAAGCCTTTAGGACTAGAGTGTTACTATCTACCTAGAGGTAACGATACGTAAGGTATCATATGAATAGATAGAGATATGTCTATCTCAAGGAAAGATAATCGAGGGATAGTACCATATGACCCCACTACTTTTTGAACTGTTCAAGGCACACATAAACGTGTAATACTGCAATTCGGTGAACCTCTCAGTGAATCTCTCACCATGAATGTATGAATGAATGAATGAATGAATATTTATTTAGTTTCAACAACAAACACAGTTATGTTAGTCAATTAAAAGAATATATATCTAAGACATGAAACCAACTAGGTATGTACTCGGTACGATTTCCCGATTTTCAGTACACACCAAATATTAAAATTATAAATAACAAACTAGACTTAGATTAACACAAAGCGGGTACATTAATTTAAGGACAATAACACAATACCTACTGATTATAACACAAATCTGGTACATTATTGTAAACAACACAACAGTAACACAATAACGACTAATGAAAATTGTGAGATTAAAACTAGTACAGCCGTGCTGTAGCTTCAGACAACCACGCGAATAAGTAAATAACGATATATTTCAGGACATGTTTTTATTGAACGTTATCTAGTCCCAAACTAAGCAATGCTTGCGCTATGCGTACTAGGTAATTGATATACATTATTTTATTTTGTAAATGATAAATATTAAAGATACATAAACACTCAGACACTAGAAAAACATTATGTTCATCACACATTATTTTTCCAGTAGTGGAGATCGAACCCACGACCCCCAGCGCCGAAGCCAATACCTTGGCAAATGCGCCAAGGAGTCGTATCAAACTTGCAACTTTGCATCGATAGCGGCCACGGCAAATGTGATTTTCATGATTTCGGGTCTTGTTCATGGTAACAGAGCATCCGAGCAACGTAAAGTTTTGCAAACATAGTTTATATGGAGGTAACACTTAGTAAACTGTTCTTTCTAGCGAAAGTTGAAGGTTTGGAAAGATATGCTGTAAATGTAAAAAAATTTTGGCCACCGATGATTCACATAACCATATTCAAACTGTATTTCCTTCTTTGCACGGACCGCTAAACAATAGACGAAGGTAAAATTAGGTACTACTAGTAAATTCACGGTATTGTGTGATTTGTTTTTGTGTATATTACATATACAAATACTTGAGCCGGGTGGGAATCGAGAACACGTCCCACGAAAGAAACCTACAGCATCAACCGAAGTATTAAATACTGTAACTGGCTTTGGTAACTCACATAACATTTGAATATCCATTTGACAGCTGGTTAGTTGACGTCTACGATGATCAGTGCTTCAGAAACCGGGAGTAATCGCCTGTCTATTACCTTTGATGTCTCCACGCCATCGATGTCTTTTCAGTTTAAATGACATTGATATTAAAATTTTGAGTTTCAATCCGCGACTACATGTATAAAGTTTCGTCGGCATACAGAACTCACCAGCCTAAACTCGCCACCACATTGTCATAGGCCGAACAAACTAGATCAAATTACTCCAGTGCATTGGTGTGCGTATTACTAAACTAATTAATTGTCAACTGATCGACGCTACGTACCGTTCAGGCAAACCAGTGCTGGTGTTGGCAAACAAGCAGGACAAAGATGGCGCCCTCGACGACATCGACGTGGTGGAGAAATTGAACATTGAACCGCTCGTCAACAAGTAAGTTTTGCGTTAAAATATTATCCAAACTTATGATAAAAACGTATACGCCTCTCACCCATAGAGGAAATAGAATTCTGGGAGCCTTTCACATGTTATTTTCCTGTTTCAACTCAATACAAAAAGCGCCGCCAACGGTAATTTCTATCGTATTTTCATTCTATCTCCCAAAGTCCGTGGATTCTGTATTGTGAACAGTTGAATTTATTATTAAAATTCTGAATTGATCACAGACATTGAGCCTATTAATTTTATGAAGTCAAAAGCGCTTTTGAAAAAACTTGCACGAAATCTAAGGTCGTCCATAAAGAAATATCGTCGTTCCAGCTATTTATTGTCTGCTTTTATGGTATACTATAATGGATTTAGCTCTAAATTATAATAAACTTACTATTAATCATGGAAATCGAGTCTAAAACCTTAAGTGTTCATACAAATTGGATATTTCTTATTAATCTTGGTCTTACATTTGGTTTGATAAGTCGAAAATTAAGTTCCAAGCGAATACTTCATCTAACTATACCGTCTAATATGTAATGTCTCTTCTTATGCTCAATCCTCATATTCATGTGCAAAACATTTGTCAGGTATAGATGTCCCACCTTAGTGGAGTCGTATAGCGCTTTTCCATCGGAGCTCAAAGCGAAGAAGCCGAAAATCGACCCGGGCTTACGCAAGGGCTACCACTGGCTCCTGAACTATATAGTGCGCCGTTACGGCGACATAAACTTACGCGTCCAAACGGACATACACGCTGACCTCGAGCGACGCAAGCGTATGCTGACTAGGGCTGCGAACAGAGCCTCGCAAACCTACACGGCGACCAGCGACGACATGGCCACGCAGACCGGCTTCGAGAACCCTAATTTCGAACCGCACACCGCCGAAACTGACCGAGAGAAAGAGCTGGAGCGCGGCCTAATCGTAGTCAAGCCCGTTGGCATCAAACCGAACAGCGTAGACACGACTATAACAATCGAGAGCGTCGAGGACACTGACACCAGCGGTCCGAAACCAAAGCTATCGCCGCTGTTCGGCCAAACGAGCAACAGCTCGAACAGCGAGCCGGCTAAGATCGAACTAGAGCCGAGGAACGAGTTCAGGAAGCTGTCGCCGATAGTGAGGAAGAAGAGCGGCCCCAACCATCACATCGATTTTAGGAGCAGACCACATTCGAGCCCCACAATAAAGAAGAATAAGGTAGGTGATAGCTTAGTGTCGGACTCTCGTTTTTAATACAATATACTCGAGTAACCTAAGTTCACGTCCCGCTGCCAGCATCAATTAAATTCGAAATAAAACAATAAAAGTATTTCGGAAGATATTTGTGAAATCCGAAGTGAGGTCGCGTGGTGGACTATGTCACATAGCTGAATGTTATTCGTTAAAGATTTTGCGTAAATCCTCCTCCGGTTTTTATCACCTCAGGTTTTTATGTACATTATCGAGCTGATATTTTTGTGAAAACTACTGGGTTTTGGACCATCATCCTTGAACTGGTAGTTGATATCCCTATGCCTCTTACTCTCAATCTCTTAATCCCTGTCTCGCCCGGGTGTTCCTTATATTCTTGTTTCAAACTTCGACGTTTGAGGAAGTCGAAACATTTGAATTAATAACCCGGTAGGGCACTCATGTCTACATCAGAAAAAGGAATTTGGTTTTTCATGTCCGTTATCAGGTAAGCGAAACTAATGCCACGTCGAAGAACTCCTCGATTCAAGAGGAAGAGGGCAAGGCGGGCAGCGAGAGTGTAAGATACCTGGGCGATTGCACCCAAGCGTGGGATCATGGCAGCACTCTCAACCACAGGGTCCTCGTTAGGGATTCTGAGCTGTCTCAGCTGCACCGGGAGATCGTGCTGACGGAGAGAGGTAGATGATTTTGACGAGATGAACCGCCCACTTTATTTTAACTTCAACCAGCAACACGTTTCTCACACATTGATGCCCCAAAGGCATGAAACTTTTCTTTTAATTCAATTCTATCTTATTACTTACTGACTGTGAACCGTCCAAAATGACATCGTCATAACAAATCTAACGACGTCAATCTATGTGAACTGTGATATTAGATCGTGTAGCACCACATTGTTCTCCGTAGTCACTATTGCCGCAATGTTAATTCAATCGTCTCACAAAACGTGTTGTCAAGAATCATTGGACTGTTCTACTGGACGGCGTCTATGAACACAGCGGTATCACCTGAGACGACCGGTATTTACTTTATGCACTAAAATCACAATCCTTGTTGACAAGATCACACTCCTTTAGCATGGTCAAATGATGATTGCCCTATTATCAATTGACTAAGTAAAGGTCTGCCTTTTTGGACAATTTTTAACCGACTTCAAAAGGAGGAGGTTCTCAAATCGACTGTAATTTTTCTTTTTTTATGTCTGTTACCTCAGAACTTTTGAATCAGTGAACCGAGTTTGATGATTCTTTTTTTATTTGAAAGCTGGTGCTTCCCATGTGGTCCCATATTAATTTCATTGGTATTGGATCTTGGGCTCTGAACTCCTGAAAATCCATTATAAAATGAATACAGAGCGAGATATTTGAAGCAGATTTTGTTTTTCGTTAGTAAAAAAATGTTTACCTATATTCTTTATAACTAAAGGGAAAAAATTAATAACAATAATGGACAAAAACTGTCTGAACTTTATCCTCAATACCATTTATGTTCATGCAAGAAGACTTAGAGTTTACCCAGCATGCGGATTTCTCTTTTACAATGCCATAAACAGATCTTAGCCCTGTGTTACAATGGGTTTCCTATACAATGGCTAGGCAACGCCGCGGGATCAACGGAGCCTCTTGCGAAAGCGGCGTCCACGGATCTCGCCGCATTAAGGTCTGGTGGGGGTGGTTTTGGTGGTTTGGGGGCGCTGTCTGGTGATGGGGGCAGGCCGGCGTCAGCGTCGCAGCTGGTGCGGAGGCAGCTCGAGCTCGGCGCTCACAAGAGGCGGCTGAGTCTGCGCTGTGAGACGATCTTTTAATGTTTTCCGCTCTCGTTTAAAGTCTCTCGATGTACTGCAGTGGAGCTAGGCTACTAATTAGACGAAGGGCTTGCCCCATTTCGGGTATCACTACGGTGAAGTGTGCGTTTATTTAAAATTGAGAATTTTTGTAGATTACTGCGTCTTCCGGTCTCGCGCCCCGGAGCTTTACCAACTAAGCTAAGCGGCCGATGAACTCACGCCATGGAAATCACGACATCTGTCTATATTAATTTTATTGTTCTCTTAGCTTTTTTATAGTGTATATTTATCTATTCTTTATCTAGTCGGTGATACTTTAAAGGTTGGAAGCGCAACTGCGTTGCACGATGCCCACATAATTCGGACCGCAGAAGTCGACGCAACAATGAAGGGTCAGCATACTCTCATGGTTTTTGCCCACATGAACATAAGCGATGACGTTCGGAATTATTGATAACGTCGGTATTCCCACCTAATGTTAGTTTCAACTAACATCATGACAACTTGAACGAGAATGATCGCTACCATGACGATCATCGCAGCCCTTATGTCCAGACATGCAGCGAAACAAGACTAGCCCCGAGCGCATTACAATGGTGGTCGTGGAGCCCGGTAAGGCGCAACGGCACCTGGACAAGGGCGACTTCCAGCACACCACCGCCACCAACTGATGAGGTGAGTGCCGCAAAACGTATCTCAATTCGCCCCCCTTGAGGGCGAAGTGATACACGAAAAGGAAACTCAATTTGAATGCCAATCTTTGCATTTTGGACGCCTACCATTTGGGGGTGTAACGAATCGCTAAACGCTGGCGGATTTCACTGTGACCCATTTAGGGGCGAAACGATACCTCGCTCTTTCGGATGAAAGCCGCCCCAAACAAGCGCGGATTTATGTCGGGGCTTCTTTTTTCTTTCTATTTAAAAAAAATACTTTTTCAACTTCGGTAAGACATTAGCATTGATCACTCACTACGCGTTCTGTCATCTGTCACTTTATACGCTTTCCAAACCGTGTGATGAAATATTTCCAATAGAATAGCGTGAAATATATCCGATTGGTTTTCGATTCGAACCCAGCAGCAAGTTTTGCGTGGAAAATGGAGCATATTCTAGCAGATAAATCCCCTATAATATTTTTATTTAACCATAAAAAAAATTGACATTGAGTGTTATACTGATACCACCGAATGCAATCATATTTTATACTACACACATGTGGTTACCACGTCCAAAGTGAAGGTAAGAAAACGTCACATTTGGAACGTCTCGTCTTTAGTTCACGTTAGGCAGGGCGGCGAGTAAGACGCAGTGTAAAAAAATTACAATAATAAAAACGCTATCGTGTGTCTTTAAAAAATGTACTGAGGACGACTCTAGAGTTAACAAAATTCATAGAACCTCTTATCATGTACATAATGCGTTATATCTTCGATTTATTACTTTATTTCAATTATTTTCCTAATAATTCAATTTATGTGGGTTAGAATACAAAGAAAGAGGCAGAAAATAAGTTTAATACCAGACGAGAACGCCGAATGCACCTCGAGATTATTTATACACTTATGGTAAAGTGACAAACATCTGTGGTCCTCTTTTCTCTAATTGTTTTAATTGCGCTATCCTTTTTATAACATTCGAACGAAACGTGTGAATGTCTGCTATCAATATGTTTGGAAATAGAAACACTTTCGACCGGTGATTTTGTACGCCTATAACAATCTTTAGTATAAAATATCATTGCTCGAATGTGACTTTGTATGGATTTATTACAGGTCACGGTGCTACCATTGGAGGGTAGTAGTAATAAATATGTCATCGAAGAAATTCATTTAAAAAATTACTGAAAATTACGCAATCTAAACAAATGGCGTTTCTTTTGTGTAAGCAACAATGGAGGCTGACATTTCATAAGTATTTTCTTTATAAGAATTATGAATATGTCTTGTGTTTTGAAACTACAAATTATATTCCTATTTCTGGGAATGCTAAGAAGACTTGGTATTGTAATGATTGTTTATTTTTTGTGACTTAATTAATTTTCTTCGACGAAAAAATCATTTTCATTACACAGATTGGCCTGTGCGATTTTAAATGTTAAATTGTGAATTTAACATTTAAAATCGCGATTTAGACTAGAGAAAAAAATTGATTATTAAATCAGCAGAAAATAATTATAAAATTGCACAGGGGTAATGTGTTTTGTTAAAAATTATATTAATACAGGGTATCTAGCTTTGATAGTAGAGAAAAAATTAACGTGTTAAGATGTCTGTGTTTATTATCTATACAAATAAAGAAAATAACAAAAAAACATTTGGATGCTTTCAAAATGGTTCAATAAAAAAATTAAAAAGGAATATTTTTTCTCCTTTTTATGAAATTATTTCATACTTACCTTTTTGCCAAAAAATATTATGAAATTATTTTTAATGGCGCTTTATATAAGCATTAGTATTGTCTCTGCCCAATTTTGGAATATTCAATTTTGCGAAATCACTTAGCCAGAATTTTGATTTCATCTAATTTTTTAAGTGTTTCTGTGAAACAAATATTTGTAAAGGGATATATTAAATAACGCATTACATGGTTTAATATTTTAAGTTTAAAACCTGAACTTATATTTACTGAGACATTTTATACCGAATAAAGTTTTAGGTTCGGTTCAAGGAACACGTATAATTTCATTTGATTTATCTTCTACTAGGTAGACATGTTGGGAGTACATAAAGAGTTTCTAAACATTCGTCCCCGCCTTGGAATATTCCCGAGTATACATTTTTAGTAATTATATACGAGTAAAAACAAAAATAAAAAATGTCTTATAAAAGGTATGATTTAAACGGGAACATCTTGAAGCCAAGTAATGTCCATAATTCTTAAGTACCCCAAATAGATAAAAAATAACGTGTTATATCGCGATTATTAATATATGTACCTACGTAGATAAAAAAGTTACGAATAAAGTTGATTTAAGTACGTAGAAATTCCATTGTTTGAGTCAAAAGAGGCCCATTTACACGGTGCAAGTTTCTTGCCTGTAGTATACAATTAAATTGAAGCAATAAATGAGTTGCATGGTCTAAACAGCACATAACATTCTTGACCGTTGAACAAAACTTGCTTCAAGTTTTGTTTCAAAACTTTCCTTGGTGTAAACAGCACACACAATAATTTCTTAAGCAATTCTTGTATTCTATTGCATTCTCTCTTCCTTTGTAAAAATTTGTGCAATGAGTGAGGGTATTTAATCATTGCTGTTCTTTTGAGGATAGAAATATTGAGAAAAGGTCGTAAAAAAAGTTGGATAAAAAAATGAATAATAAAATATGGATAATAATAAATAAATCTCAACGAAATATATTTAATCGGCATAATCTAACTTGAACACTTATTATTGAGCCATTTTTTTTTAAAAAAACAGCCCTTTGTAAAACGTTCAACACTTGCATGAAAAATTTGTCAACGCAAATACGTGCAATACTTGAAGCAACACGCCAATAAATTGTACACGCACATACAAGCATATGTTTAGACAAGTCAAAACTTGAAAGCAATAATCGCCTAAACATAATTGCATTGGTGTAAACAAAAGACCTTTGCAATTATTTCCTGTCAAGACGCATACAATAATCGCATACAATTTTTTTTACTATATCTGCGTATAAACTGTTGCTTACAATTCTTGATGGTCAATTATTGCGTGCAACTTATTGCATTCAATTATTGCTCTTGTATGTACAAGAAAATGGCATCGTGTAAATGGGCCTTTAATTCAAATATGTAATAATATGTACAACATTTATTTGATTAATGAAGAAAAAATTAACATTACATTCTGTGTGTTCAATACCTTAATCCAAGTTTGGTTTAAGTTACGTCTGGCTCTTTTACGTTTACGTATGGATAATTATATGTTTTTTACTATAATAAAATTTCCCAACTTGCTTGATAGGAAGGAAATAAATTTTCATCCTTCCTATCAAGCACAATAGCTTATTTACTTTTAAAATTGATTGGTATATTGTAAATATCAATATTTCATTCTGTTGTTAAATTTGTGACCTGCTTGATTGCAATTTTTTATTAGGTCTTCTCTAATTTCGAATCGTTAATTGACTGCAATGACTTATGGCTGGTTTAAATATTCTATCCGTAGATTTAGTAAATATTACGGAGCTAATGTCAAATAGTTACCGCTAGTAACCAAACAGATAGATACAATATTGTAACTGGCTGTTAGAGAAATTGTATGGTGCAAGTTTTCACCACATAAAAAATATTTAGTCGTTTATAAAATAATATAATATATACGCTAGTGTTAGGGGAGATTGTATATCTGCTTCATTTTGTATTTTGTATACAGTCAAATGATTTTTATTAATAAATGATAATAAATCAGTAGTTCGTTGTTTCATTAAGTCCTGTCACTTTAAATCGAAACACACCGTATAAATACGGACCTGGTCATTTTATAGAAATCACAAACAGTTTACAACTAAACACTTTACAACAAAACTCAGTTCACGCCGTCCTTCCCTCCACTACTTGTGCATGCGGACTTTTTAGTTTGTTCTGTTGGTTTTAAAAAAGTTGTAAAGGAATGTTTGTGTGTTAAAAGTTATTATAATATTAGCGATTATTTAAATGATATGGCCGAGGGCAGAAAGGTTCTTGAGTGGAGAGCACCTGACAAGCGCAGCGTACAAAGGCCTCCGTGGACATGGACGGATGACTTAGTAAAGATCGCAGGGACGATGCAGGACGCTACCGGCCGGTCGAAGTGGAAGTCAACAGGCCTCCTATGTTCAGCAGTGGACGTCCTGCGGCTGATATGATGATGATTTAAATGATAAAACACTGGGAATTAATTGATCGCCCCCAGGCTCTTTCAAGTGGACTGTAATTTATAGTCTGTTAAAAAACATTGTCCCATCGTGTTTCTTTCGCCGGTTCTTCTCAGGTCAGTGGCTTTGCTTCTTCGATAGTAGTATTATATAATGAACTAGCTGGTGCCCGGTGCGCTACGTTTCACCTGGAAAAATCTTACGTGTAACCGTAATCAATTCGACGACAGCACAAACGTGTGTGTTACTAAGTTTCATGTCAATTGGACTCACAGTTCTTGAGTTTCAGGTTAACATACATACACACACACACATTCTCTTACATAATATATATATATATATATATATATAGCATGTCTTTACAATCGCGACAAGCCATCTTGTACGTCAGCTATAAAAGCTTCCTCGAAACACATTAATCTGAACATAAACCGATAAATCAATCGAATTGTCCCATGATTGGAACAGTGGTACCTTACGAACCTATATACATAATCTTTGATGTAAAATTTGACGATTCATAAGAGCGCGCAAGCGTCTTTTTGAATAAATATTTTTGATTTTGAACATACACCGACAAATCCTTAGAAAACTTTCATGGGCTATGCATTTGGTTGGTTGAATACCGACAAATCCATATCCAACGATTTATAAGACTCGGGGGGGAACTTTTATTACTGGATCAAGATTGGATTTTAAAGAATGTCAAAAATCTTTAAAACACTTTATAATAAACTAAAAATGCCCGATTTAGAATGAATATATCTAAAAAATGTGATGTTATTTGAGGAAACATCCGTCAGTCTGATAAAAAACCGATAAATCCATTTTGTTATTTAAATTTCTTATCACATACATGAGATTTTGATATCAAAACATTGATACCAAGACCTATATACAAGTAAACTTTGTTCATCTCTAAATTGGAAATCCATAAACATATGTATTATTTTTGTTTCCCGAAAAAATGTAATATGTGATAAATCGTTTTTTGTTCCTTTATATTATCCAACATTTTTTTTATTCTTTATGTTTAAGGGACTTGCGTAATATGCATGTCAGTCCCATCATGTCCTCCTCTTATGTTATACAACTTTGACTTATTAGATACTAATACTTACTTTTAAAGTTTTAGCCATAAACTCGTAAAGTAAATTTGCATTTTCACTATTTGGGTGGCATAACAAAGAATGAAAAAGGCCAACATTATAAATTTTCTTAAGTTCATGTCTCTTAACAAGTTATTCCTATTGGACTCATTTCTAACATTTTGAGCGTTATTTATATTGCCTACAAATTTGTCACTATATAATATTACGAAAGATTTATTGTATCCATATTTTTATTATAGGAAATTAAAGCCTTTTCCTAAAATCGGCCTTTCTTCGTTCAATAGCTAACTGAAGAGAAGAGCAACAGGGCGAGTTAAAAAAAAAACAAACGCAATTACATTTATCGACTTTATTTTTAATATATCAATTACATGTTGTTATCAATTATACGACTTACATAATTTTTATTTATAATTATGATGGATTTTAAAATATTTTTTTTTTCACTATACAGCGTATTTATCAACAAACAGGGTCCGCCCTGCGACTTTCAGAATTGCTTGGGACGAGTCTTCAGGGAGGTGAAAACGCGGGAAACGTGCACACGCGACCACATAGAAACGAATATACATATTACATATCCAAACAACCAGTGCCGGATTAACCACGTTGCAAGAGTAGCAAATAAGTTTCCGTATAATTGGAAGAATAAATACGCACACTTACAGGCATTATACAACTATACTGACCACCAAACCCGTGGGTTCAGATGAAGCTTTAATAGTCTCGGGACTGAAAGCACAAACCTCAGTTAATACAAGATACAAGATATACTGACAACAAATAACCCACTGATATTTAAATACAGCAGAAGCATGTATTTGTAACCAATTCTATTGTCTTATTTTATTTTTTCTTTCGTTTTTGTAATTCAAATTTTTTAATATTATTTTTTATTTAATGTCTATTTTTGTTGTTTTTAATTTTGTTTTTATTTCGATTTCTGTTTTTGTTATATGGGACTTTTTTGTTTGTTATATGAGGCTACATATAAATCACTATTTTGTTATGCCATCTATCGTCCTCCTATGGTTCCACTGAAAATCGGTATTCACGAAGTTTACTAACTCCGTGAACTCATGCTGAGTGGAAACCTATATGGTGCATGTAAATTGTATCTTTTTATTGAAAACAATTTTTTGTAAACAATTTATTTATATACCAAATAAACTTTTCTTTTCTTTCAATTGCTACGGGCCCCGCAGCAAAAACCACCCTTTGGCGCCTATATAAATTTGTACCCATTTGTTGTGGGTTCAAATTTATTTCAGGCAGAGGCCTGAGACATTTTTTGAAACTTATTAAATAAGTAAGAAAATTGAATTGTTTCTTTACTAATTTATACTAAAGTCCCCACAGCAGATCAAGGGCTGTTTGAAAGAATTTGCTACGGGCCCCGCGCTTGCTTAATCCGGCACTGCAAACAATGCCACAGAAAGCCAATACTTCTAAGATTTATGACGAACAATTCACAATAACACACATCTTATAACCGGCACAGGCCAATCCAAGTGTTACACGGATAGAACTTATACAACAAGTCAAAATCATGAGACGCATTTATTAATTCGTCACGATGACTCGTACCCGATTTTACATTCTACGTGTAAAATAACGATGAACATCGATTAGGTACCGGGGTGATCCCTGACAGAGTATATTTCTTCAAATAAATAAAGAGAAACGCTTGTTTGGAGACTGTATGGTGGCTTGAGAACATTTAATATTTTAACATCCCTGAGAACTCGGTTGGGCAGCGGCTGCTGTCAAAATAAATAATAAAAAACCTGCGCGTAATAAATCGTTATTATGAAAATAAAATAGAACCCTTCGCAATTTCTCCGTGAGGTTGCATCATTAATTTCGTTGTTCAGTCCGATACTTATACATAGAAAAAAAAAAACAAACGAAGAATAACATTTCAAAGTCACTCACTCGTCTACAGAAGAAGGAACTTTGTCTCTTTGCCATGTCCGTCATGTTAAATTTAAATCACAACCACGATTCGCCATTACGTTTTTTTTTTTTAAATTTAAAAGGAAAATAATTAAAATGAAGGATTTTTTTCTCCCCGATCTAATTCAAACGATACTTCTAAATTGAGCAATATTACACAAGTGACGATAAAACGTTATTCAACAAACGAACAAAGGAATCCCTCCACCGTTTTCGTTTCGCATCCCACAAGATCAGACGGTGCTTCGTTTTTAAATCGGATCAGCGAGTATAAGCGTCTTAACGTATTACTTTGTCGTATACGGTGTATAATGTATAACATCCGTTATATTTATAAATAATCCATTAACAGCGGAAAACAATTTAATTTCCCCTAATTTAGCGCCATTTTTGCGCTGGCGTGACTTTAATGTCGTAAAATTTTGACACGCCGTAGAATTCCTTAGGAGTTGGACAAAGTGTTACAGCGACGCGCCTTCCGCGGATTAAGAATGTGAGGAAAAAAAAGTGAAACCATGATACCCTGTCATTTCATGCCTCAAATACACAAAACATTAAATGCAATCTTCCGAGGCGGTAACAAAAACGTTTGGCACTACTAAGAAAACGAAAAACACGACTTCGTAATTTCCCTTAATCTATCTTACTGTGTAATTAAAGCATTTCATAATGTGTTTTACACACATTTAATATTTATATAGATATATATTAAAAACTATATTCAATATTCACTAATACATTTTTCAATAACTTCAAACTTTCGAATTAACCAACGAGCATATGAGATTTTTCTATGAAAAGACAGTGGCGTGACAAATTAATTGGCAACTACCCGAGAACTTAAAGAAACAACATTGACATTGACCATAGACAACGGCGTTGCTTCGATCACACTACATCTACAGTTAAACGTAATACTCTTATTTCATTTAGTTCGAGTAACGATTATGTTAGTTTTTAACCGTTTAAGGGCGGAATTACACGAATCTCTACTTTGTTTTTGTTCTATTTACAGACACATGAAGCGAAATTACTTTAACTACACCCTAGACTTGTCAAATGAATGTGATTTATTTATGCGGGGATCATTTGGGTCTTTAAAACACTCACGTGTTAACGAGGCTTATTTTGAATTTATTATGGTTATACACATAACGATAGTAAATAATTTGACGTTTATTTGACAAATTAAAATGGTGGACCTTTTATGATTAATTTAGTTTTTAAGGAACAAGTTTTCGAGGTTAACAATTTTGAGAGTTTAGTAATTAATAAATTTACACCCTCTCGTATTTTAGCTTAAACAAAATTAAGGAACAAACTGAAAACGCTCGCTTGCACTAAAAATTCTTTAAATTCACCTTAAATTTATTTTCAGATAATCTAAAAGCAGATTAACTAACCAATGTGCGTTTGATTTCGATATTATGATATATGTTAGAGAAACTTCAAAGGACGAATCAACGGACAACTTAAACATAGAATATTACACGACGTACGCACTCAGTGTTGCCACTAAGCGTGAATCGTTCGTATAATCAACAACACTTTGATCGGGCACAATTCACATCAAGATGACGTCTGGAGTGAAAAATATGCAACGTCCCTTACAGATCAATGATACAAATAAAATCTAATAAACAACCCATCGCCGCCATCTTGTTGTGAATCAAGCCCTAATGGCCGTACATGCGACGGACGTCTTACATTACGCAAAACATTGAGCAAATTCAGCAAACGACAAACGACTACATTTCTCATCTACAAGCGTCACGGGAAGCCGTTGTTTTTTTTTTTTTTTTTTTTTTTTTTGCGTTTTTTCATTTCTTTTTGTAATATCCAAAAAGTTCGATTGTTCGCCCTAAATAGAATATCATTATTATAACTTATACACCATTTATAGTATACAACGATAAAAACATCTTTGTACATCGACGACCGGCCCGGCGAAAATTACAAATCTTCGTAGTCGAAGCCTAGTGTGTATCTACTTAGACATGAAAAATCACATTAACTCTACTATTGTTAGTTTACTTACACTAAACTTATGCGACGCGGGGGTCGTTTGTATTTACAACCAGAATTAGACTTCAGGGTTCTGTCCAACTTTTAAAAAGTACAAATGTCACTTCGCAATGTCTATGGGAGACGCTAGACCGGAAGCGGATTTCGGCCGGCTATCACTACGGGATTAAACATATTTTAAATCCCGAGATATGTATCGAGTCCAAATATTGGCGTTCACACACATGTCGTGAGAGTTAGCTGCACGGGCAACGAACTGGCAACTGTATCGGACTAAAGGTCTTCGGCGATGTACCGAATGGTGACGTATTCGTCGTCCGTATCTCGGGAATTAAGATGCGCTGCATCCGATAGCGAGGGACTCCCCGCGGGCCGCCATTAACAGCTGATCTCGGAGTCGGGTGGCTTCTTGCCGTTTCCGTTGCCGATGGTTTCATAGTGGCGGCGCTTGAGCCCGCCGTGGCTGCCCCCGGAGCCGTTGGAGTCGCTGTCCGCGTACGGCAGCTCCGTGAGGGGCCCGTTGATGAGGCTCTTGACGGCCTTCGGCTCCTCGAGGCCGTGGATGACCGCCCGCTTGGGGTCTATCTGGATCGGCGGCGCGCCCGACAGCTTGCTCGGCGTCACCACGTTGATGTATGGCGGGACGATGTTCATCGTGGCCAGGTTCACCGAGCCGCTGTTCCGTTTGAGCGTGTTTAGGTTTTGCTCCAGTTGGGCGGCGTCGAGGCAAAGGGGCTTCGGTTTGGGCGCGGGCCGGGGCTCCTGCGGCTGCTTGGGTTTCGTCTCGGGCGACCGTTTTACGACCGCAGCCTCCCCCCCAACCTTTGGTGCCTCTTCCAACTTCCCCTCCCCCTCTATCGTCTGTGACAGCGCGTTGTCGGGCGGCTTAGGCGAGGTCGGCGTTATGCTTATTAACTTGTCGACCTGTTAACGACAGTGAGTTAAGGTTCGTATCTGTACAGAACGAAGTTTTAGTACTGGTCGACTATTTGATAAATACACGCACGAGGCGTTATTTCGCCAATGCATTAAAATTGATAGGATATCAAAAAGGGAAAAGGGTTAGATTCTTATTTAATTATTCTTGAAATTGGGAATACAACAAGTTAATCATATAAGGTCGTTATAAATACATACAGTGTGGCCCTACGGTATTACGTCCTCAGCAAGACTGCAAGGATGCTAGCGAAGAAGAGTCAGAAGTCTTGGAGTGGATTGCTACAGATGATGATGAATAATACACGTTGTTCTATAGTATCATAGAAGCATTTTGCTCATACAAATTTCCCGTAGTTAAACTCATGAATCTGTTATATGATGATCCCTTAAATACGGATGAATCTGTACTAAAATTTAATAGTAATAAGACATGTACGCTTATTGACTTTTATTGATTGAGACCAATGGCAGATTTGTAGTCTTGGCCGCCCTAGGCCCCAGCACATGTAGTAAGTTCCAGCCGCCCCTTTTTCAGTGCCCATCATATATCTTGATATCATCAGAGAATTTTTTGTCACGATTGGCCACCCCTGATATGTGGCCGCCCTAGGCCAGAGCCTATTGGGCCTTAGGGCAAATCCTCCAGTGATTGAGACAGAGGAATTATTGGTTTGTCCAAACTTACCTTCGTCACCTTACACGTGAATCCGAAAAGCGGTTGAGTTAAAAGAACTGGGCAAACAGTTCACACATCTCAAAACTAACCCAAACACGCTGTCAAAACTAACTAAACTAATCATAACTAAACCAAACAGACATTTGAAATTAGGAACTTACTACTTTCGACTCCATCGAACCCAACAAGTCGGTATACGTATTTCTGGCTACAATACGTTTTGACAGTTCCGAACAAACTTGTCTGTGGCTTGTGAACACAAAATTGGGACCGAAAATATCAGTGACAAGAAATTTCATACGTTAGAATTGATAATCTAATTTATTTCTTCTATTTACCCCGCAAGACGGGCATCACCTTACTCGAGAATGATGTCAAATATAAACGTTAACTTTAACATAGTAGCAGCGATCAGCAAATTAACTCCCAAATAGATTCCACGACAAGACTTCAAATTCATCATTAAAGTATCTAATTTTGTAACTGTACAACTTGGTGTTTACTTTGACTACTAAAAAAAATAGCTGTGTTATAGAAATGACATTTACTTATCTTGTTTTTAATTACTTTTGTTAATATATTGATTGCTGTATTATTTTAAACAAAAAGAAAAAATACTGTATGGTTTGATTTACTACCATGTTAATATTATTGCCATTTCGTAAAAATTTAAAACGGCTGCCACGCTACCGTATCAAAGCTTAAACGTAAACGTTACAAATATATTATGGTGTATCAAATTTATTTTCATCGATCATGCAAAGTTATTGTCTGGAAAACATCGAAACGTGAAGCGTATTTCTTATATTTGATGGATTATGCACAGGATACGTAGCGTATGAAGGGCAACCGGTGGATGCAAATGGCAAAATCTCGTTCGTTGTGGGGTACTAAGGGCGAGGCCTATGTTCAACAGAGGACGTCTTGCGGCTGATGATGATGGATTATGCATGGGATATGACGGGCCATATGATTACTTGTCTCCAGACGAACTGATGGTCGCTGGAGACGACACGTGTTAGAGTGGACGACACGATTAGGAAAACGTGGTGTGGGACGGCCTGCAGCACGATGGACTGACGACTTAAGGAAGGTGGCGGGCAGCGGATGGATGCGGGCTGCCCAGGACCGGGATATTTGGCGCACTATGAGTAGGCTTACTTTCAGCAGTGGACGGCGATAGGCTGACATTTTGTGATTACTAGCACTTAAGACCTAACTATGCGATTACTCACGGCGGGACCCGTTTCGGTGCTCTGTTTGGGGTCGGATTCTCCCTTGGACCTCGGCTTAGTGAACGAGGTCTCCCAGATCACCGGTTTCCCCTCCTTATCTTCGGCCGCGATGCCGTCGTCCACGGAGACGCCCTCCACCGAGCTCAGCAGCCTTTGTAACGATCGCGAATATCGGTTCACTTGCTTTATATGAGAAGGTGGCCAGTGAGATGGCGGTTCATCTGATGTAAAGTAACAGCCGCCGCCCATGGACATTAGCAACACCCGTAGGATTGCAGACGCGCTGCCGTCTTACAATAAACTAGGCCCCGGCTAGAGACGACGACTCACCAGACGATACGCAGAAGTGTGACACTTCCATTTCACGCCGACATTCTGTGGGGTCGTGATACTTACCCGGACGGACCTGCCCATTCGTGCAACAGCCAATACTGTTGCGTGGCCCGCGGTTGGTTCATTTATCAACCGAATTCAAAAAAGGAGGCGATTCACAATTCAGTTGTTTGTTCTTTTTTATGTTTGTCACCTCATATCTCGGCCGTTCTTGAACCGATTTCAGAAATTCGTTTTGTATTGGGTTGGGTATCTTTCTATTGTTTTAATGTGAAACATGAAAAAAAAACTTTAGTTAACTGTTCAATTGTCAAAAAATTTTATACATCATTAATGAGCTACTTATATTCTTCATTGGAAATATCTTAAAAACGGGATGACGAAGGGCGCATTTAATGCCCAATGCTATTTTCAGTGATATGCTTATCTCAACTCTACTCCGTAACTCACCTGTCGGTGGACTTAGACGGCAGAAACTTTGTGCTTGTCCGCGTCTCGCCGCCGGAAGTAGCGGAGGCGCTTGCGCGCCTTACGCCGCCCAATGTCACCATTGGAATGTTGCCATATTCTGGTGATGCTGTCGGGCGATTTTACGGCATTGCAGTTTAAATGGAGACCGTTTCTGGTCTAAAGATTTTTCTGAATGTATGCGGATGGCATTTTTCGTTTATGTGAACGGTAACCATGCGTGATGCGTGTTGCAATGGTAAGGCGTTGCGTTTAATAAAAAAAATTAAAAACGTTGGGCAACACAATAAAGAGTATTTAAAATAAAATTAAACAATTATAGAAATTAGAATAATCAATCAAATGATAATCTCTTTTTAACGAGAACCACATTTTGGCCTGTTATAACCTGCCAGTGACTGTATTACCTTCCGATTAACTAGGTGTTAAGGCAAGAGTTAATAAGGCTTTTATTTAGCAAGTGCGTTTTCTCCGGCCATATCGCGACTTACGGCCGGTTTCAATATTCTATTTAAGACAGATTTGGTTACTATAGTCTGTTAAATATAGGTTGATACGCGGGACATTGACATTGAAACACCAATATGGATCTCGTATACTTTATATATGAACTTCCGTATTTTTTAAACTTTTCTTTTTCTTTTTATGTGACAAGTTGCCAATCGAGCTGACGGTTCACCTGATCTTAAGTAAATACCACCGCCCATAGACATCTGCTACATCCGAGGGTTGCAGATGCGTTGACAACCTTTAGAAAATTGGGCTCCGGCCACCTCACTCACCAGACGAAACGCGAAAGTATTATACTTCCCCTTTACGCCGGTCTTCTGTGAGGTCGTGGTACTTACCCGGACGAGCCTGCCCATTCGTGCAACAGCCGAGGCTGTTGCGTGGAAATGTACGTAACATAATGTGTTACTTTATTTCGTAATGTCACTTTAGTTTGTTAATGTCAATGTACCGAGTATCGTCGTATATTTAACAAACTGCAGTGATAGGTATTTGACTTAGCTAAACAAATCTAAAGCAGTAACCAAATCTATCTGTAGATTGAATATTGAAACCGGCCGTTAAGGATTAGTAAAGCACTGGCCAGTTATTCATACCAAACCACATCGCCAATTGTCTTATATAGGAGCTGTTGTGTAGCACTTGCCAAAAAACCTGAGTAGAGATATCACCAAAAGTAACAGAAATGGTTATTTAAACGGAGTTCAGTATAGCATTTACTCGGTAAAATATTTTACACATTCTATAGAGCCCAGTTGACTCGTATCTTCAAATTTAAGTTCATATATCTTTATTCAACCGAGGAGCATTACTAACGACGAAGCGAACGTCTTAGTTTGGAATCGAATATCTACTTGAGTTAAAACATTATCAAAGATAGCTTAAAATTTGTATGAGAGGGAAATTAACTGGAATTTTGAATGAAACATTTCAGGACATGACCAACGTTATCTAGCTGACCGAGCAAAGCTTGTACTATGGATACCAGGTAACTGATAAATATAATTTTCTTTTGTAATTAAATACATATTATATGTATAAACACTCAGCACTAGAAAGACACAATGTTCATCACACAATTTAGTTTCCATTAGTGGGGATCGAACCTCGAACCTCTAGCGGAGGCAGGTTCACTATCGACTATGCGTAAGCGCTTAGTAAAAAATTTTACTTTACAGATTTTTTACTTTCAACTTTTGGTTGAACATTTCGAACTGTTGCGTACCTTTCAGAAGAGGTTGATATGGTGAAACCTCTACCGTTCCCAGTTGTTCCGGCGTCTCCGCCGGCTCTTTGCTATGAGGGCTCGTCTGATCCGTTGAGCTAGAACAAGCCATCGATGAGCGATTCCAATCGCTGCAGCCCTTGCGGCCGTTTTACTTCTATTGGACTACCAGCAAGAAAGCGGTTCGCAAATTTCGGGTGGACCCTCGTAAACCATCAGCCGATGAATTATAAAACGGAAATGGCGATGTCTCATGCACTTTGTTTTGTATCCATTTCTCAGTGATACGATCAATTGCAGGCAATCCAATATCTATTTAACTTTCAAAACTCTAATTCAATTGTCTTCATTCCACATTACACTTACATGATTGTCGAAATACTACAAGTGTCGATTTCATAATAGTCTACATTTAAACATGTAGAAAAAGTACGAAAAGATTGTCGCCGCTGTGGGAATCGAACCCACGTCTTCGGCATTCGCGGCCTGACGCTCTAGCCACTGAGCTAAACGGCTGATAGCCACAGCGACGAAAATCTTAACGCCTTCTTTCTACATTGTTATTTAGCATTTGAAGCAATGCTTGGCGCATCTGCGTTCAATCTTAAGTGCAGAGATTAGCACTATAAAAAACTTTAAAATCGTCTACATTATTTTTGTTCCTGTGTTTTTTTTTTATTTTCACTATTTAGATTTAGTGGATGCTAAGTTTAAAGGTAATAAAAATACGCTGGTCTATGGATATATTTTGGTATCGGCTCACTAAGCATGCGCGGCACTGCTGGGTCCTTAAAGAGCAGTTGAGTTACAAGGTCTGTTAATATTTGCGTTCTAAAATTTCCCATAATATTGTAACATCTCATTGTGAATTCTTGTTTAGGGCCGAGTTTTGGTGAGACCGGTTATTTTAATAGACTTTTTTGAGTGGTGCATATTCAAGAGGCAAAAAAAAATAAACGTGTCTTGCCTATCTATAGTAGGTAAGTAGGAAGTTCGGTGAATAACGACTTAATTCGAGAAAAGAAAAAGATTGGCAACGCTTAAATATATATAAGTATAGGAAATTTTAGAAATAAACCAATATTTTTCTATTTTACATTGATCACATTCGAATTTAAAGCATTTCTCTTTGATTCTTTAATAGTTTTTAAACATGATTCCAACATTAAAAGTAGAAAAAAGTACGAAAAGTCATTTTTGTCTTTAGTCACTGTGGGAATCGAAGCTGCAGAGATTAGCACAATAAAAATTTAAAAATGATTCCAACAATTTAAATATTTTACGGTCAAAGATAAATAGATCATTCAAATGTGATCAGTTATTAATGATTGTGTTACCATGACATAAATTCTTAAGGGGTGCTCGATTAATAAGGTAATTGTTTAAAATAGGAAGAATGGCGGCTACATTGAACCGGGATAAAGTGATATACCTAAAATCGTAATTTTTTTTTGATGAATAGTCATCGTCAGTTCCATTTCCAAGACTATATTATGCATTAAAAATAATCAAAACACTCTAAGTAACAATTCAATGTTATGAACTTCGGTTCGCCAATTAGCTTGCGTACATACGAGTTTACTTTAAAATACGAATAATGCTTGCGAATGAGAAAAATGTAACTGGAAAAAGTGGAAGCAGAACTTTAGTAACTGTGAGTTGCGCGAGACTGTCTATACAAATGATGCGTGCGAGTGCTCCCGGCTAGCTCGCAGCGCATCGCCTGTCTAGCTCGCCAACGTTACGTGTCACTGGCTAGCTTAGCCAGTTGTCCCGTTTCAAGCCAGCCGCCGGTCGGTTACCTGGCGTCGGGCGGCGCGTCCAGCGGCGGCTTCGGCACCAGGTAGTCGGCGTCCGTCGATTGCTGCCAACACCACCACACACGTCACACGGGCCCGTGGCGGCGCGCCCACTGGTCTTTTAGCCCACCCTAGCTCAAATGTCTAGCTTTTTATAGCTCAACACCGTCTGATCATATCGCACTTCTGTTACAACAACGCTGTACGTCACATCTCGCTCGCTATTTATTTGTGCTGGCCCTATCCCCATTTACGCTACCGTCTTGCTTTTAGCCGTATACCCCAGGGCTGTCTGTTCATATCGCAATTTGACTGTTTGTTACTCGCTTTAGATTTAATTATTAAATTAACTCTTCACTCAATCTTGGTCAATTTTATACCGACCGGATAAAGTACTGCTTGATATTGAACATATTCAACATTTAAAGGTTAGGTTTCGTCTTCAGCTTTGGAGAATTTAATTAAGACTAAGACACTATTTAGACTTAGTTGCACATAATGAGCCACGTTCGCGATTCGAGCTTTTATTGATATTTGATCGTGCTATTAAACTATAGAAGTTCAAGGTTATAGTTACGACGGCCAAAAGTCACAAATAAATTTCTTCGGCTCATGATTATTTTACTTATGATATTGGCCCACAGTTAGGGCTGATTCTAGATTTTGCAGTTATTTTGCTTATAAATATTTATACGTACCTAATTAATATTAATTAAACATGTATATATTATTTACGTCTTTATACATATTCACAAATTGAACGACAATTAATATAAAAAAAAAGCAAGCAGACGAAATATTTGTTAGTCACATTACTAAAAGACCATGGACACGCCGCTGAGAAGCTTTCTTTTAGTATTTCCAATTGTTTTTCCCTGGGCCATTCCACTTAAACTACGCGTGCATTAAGACTATAGGCTTTGTAAAATGTCTGTTAATATTCTGTTCCAAACGGATGTCAAAATTTTCCCGCGCATTGAAGTAGCTTTTTTACAAAACCCATGCAAGGGGACAAAGGTATAATAAACTAAAATCGATACAGGTAGGTTCCCGCTATAGCTACTAGGCAAGTAAACAAATCTTTGAAGTAGTTTTATTTAAAAAAAATTGAGATTCCTTGAAATGTCACGGATGGTAAATGTGCGTGAGCGATCGTGTGGTAAATGAGAGACTATTGAGAAAAAAATACGGTTGATTTATATATATATTAAATTCTGATGGAGCCTTGACGTTATCTGTTGCACATGCCTTTGAATGTTTTATATGGCAACATTCCAACGAATCTCTTATAACTACGGGCGGCGGGGGTTTCTATTCTCTATGCGTTTCCCATTCAAGGAGGGGGTGGGTTAAGTTTAAAAGAATACGTATAAAATATGATATAAAACAAAATACGACGGGATCTGATCATGCGCCATTTGCAAGCCGGTACTTTGAAAAAAAAAATCGAGAATCTCCAACGTTCACGAAAGTTTTTCGTTTCTATTAAACCATATATGAGCCAGTTACTTGCTTCTAGTAGCTAGAGCGAAAACACTTTAAAAAAAAAACAAAAACAAAAAAATATATAGTTGACAACACAGTTATTTTAGGTTAGTAATTCTTTATTGAATGTATTTTATTTCGTGAGGATATTTAAACGTTGTGCCATATTTATAATACCTCCATCACTAATTTTAACGTTACTGTATTCCGAAGGCGTTATTCTAAAATCTCGTCGAGTACAAAAGACCGTAATTGCTTATTTTTAACAGTCGTGTATTCCCGAAGTCTCAAATCCTTGTCTATGGCAGTCGGTTTAAAAAATTAACATCGTAAGGCAGCAGACTTTTTTCTATTGTATCGTAATGTGGACACATTACGATTTGTGTTGTGTTCTGTGTTGCATGGCGCGATTTCCGAATAACGCCCCAAAAGGTGTCCAGAGCTTCGTTGTTCTTACCTCGTATACGATCTCCTCGATCATAGCGTTGGTGTAATTCGCTATTAGCCTGTGCGGACCGGGCAGTGGCGAGTTCAAGATCGCCGGGTCCTGAACATTTGACATTCTTACAGCAACTTCATCAGTATACAGGGTGGCTTTTCTAAGTGTATCTATTTTTTCTAATTAAATTCTAGACATAAATAATGAATTATAAAAAATTCACTCGTAAGTAATTAATTACATTCATTTGAACTTATCTCAAAATGTGCGCGATTTATACGCAACTCGGTTTATTTTACGCGCGATCATTCATAACTAACACGTACACAAGTTCGTTTCAAAACATTGCATTGTGACACGCACACAACTAAAGTTTGTTACTACACGCGTATCATAGTACAAGTAATTTTATGATTCCAATTTTCCTTCATACTTAGAACGAGCTTAGGACCGTCATAATAAAGGTTCGTCATAATTCTAAAATATTATTTTATTATTTTAAAATCACACACTATTGTTCTTACTTATTATGGCGTATTTAAAAAATGTAATCAACTTTTTACAACAATAACAATGCAAATACAATTAAATTTAGATATTCATTTAGTCACAAAAAGCACTCACTGATATTTTAAGAATTGTTCAAAATGGAGTCCATTTCTCTCAATACAAAGCTGAGCACGCTTTCTCAAACTATTTTTTAGCATTAAATGTGTCTGAGCATTGTATACGCCGGTGTGGTAAATTGTCCTAAATCTAATAGTCTTTGGATGGCTGCCAAAATCGTCCTTCGATTAGGTACACTTGAGTTCATCGCCTGTCTTTTTAAACGCGGTAAAAAGTCACTTTCATAAAGTCTTTGCGCACCACGTAAGCTTTCACCACTTAAAATGTAGCAGAGTACCATCTCGTAATACTCGCGGTTCTAATAACTGCGTTGTTGTTTCGACATCGTTAGAGATAAGCAAATCTAAAAACAGCACGCACGACCTTAATTAGGTCACGGTTAAATTGAAACTAACCTTTTTTTTTTTCAGTATACAGCGTGTCGTTACCATCGCGACAATAAATGAACACAGATATAGGGGATAAATTTTTAAAGTTGTATTAAACATTTAAATTCTTTAAACATCAATATTTACAGAGTTATTAAATTTTCCAAAACAAAGAATTTTAGAACACCCTTACCTATAAAAGTGTAACGTAAAGTTCATTTGTAAAGGTCACAAAGCATATTGTTATGAACACACAAAGGAACTAACGCCATCTAGCGTCAACTATTAAAATCACTAAAGAACAAAGACGACATAAAACCCCCTATTCAATACTAGATGGCGTTAGAGGAACTGCTGTGGAACTATAGTCTCGAAAACCGGGTACATTCGCGAACTTTCCGGAATCACGAACATGTTCGGGCGTGTCGGGTACGTTCCAGGAAGGATCTTTCTGGATTAGTCTAGAACCGGTCTCGGCCCATATAAAAAGCCGCGGGGAGAACGAGCGAATACAGTTCAGTTTGAGCTACCTTCGAGGCGACTTCGGAGCGAAAACTAGTGATCAAGAGCGATACCAGTGAAACCTACGACTTGGCTACAAAACAGGACACCGTTAGTGCTTAGTGTTTGGACCTAGTGCTTTGTGTTGGACCTAGTGCTATTAAATAAAGTCTTCAAAAGAGTCAGCAGGTCTTTCTCTCCAAATCCTTCGAACCCCTAACACGTAACAATATGAATGGGTTGAATGAATTTAAAAGAGACAAAACATACTATTAGAAGGAGAGGCTTGTAATGCGACGCTGTGGCGCGAGTTGTATAGGATGTAACAAATTTTTTACTTAATTAGTTTGTTTGAAAAATATTTTTTTAAATTATGGAATTTGTTTAACTTTAACATTTTTTTATGATTATTGGCAAGTAGCGTTAGACGTGTGTTCATTTATTGTCGCGATGGTAGCGACACGCTGTATATGTCTTATCTATGAAACTAACGAAGGGCTGCATAGAGCGATCACCGCGGGCGGGAGGGGAAGAGAACGAAGTTTTATGACGCAACGCTTTGAACGCCGCCGCCGTGCCGGCACGGGTTGTCTCCGATTTATCGCGAGCGCTTAGTTTTGTTTGTGTGCGTGCACAGTAAAATTTAGGTATTTACGCGTTCATAACTACCGCATTGTCAACAAGTTCGGTTTTTTAAGGAATAAAATGGTAAATTTTTTTGAAAAAAAAAAAAACAAGTTTGTTCTTATTTCATTAAACGATTATACTACCGAGTCTGAGCCTCGTGTAAAAATTTGGGCACTTTGCAAAAAAGACTCCCTGTTGCTATTATCACTACATAGAAAAAAAACCAAGTCGTCCCGCTGTCTACGGATCTGGATGCGGTTTTTTACTAAATTAGTGATACAAGAGGAAGGTTTATATGTATAATACATCTTCGAAATATTTTTTTTTGTTATCTTTTCGAAAATATGCAAATTTCCTCGCGATGTTTACCTTCACCGCTAAGCAAGTAATAAGACAGCACTTAAAATTAACAATTTTATTTTGTTTGAGTTGCTCGAGTATATTGAATTAAATGCGAGCGCCCGGAATGAGCTGTCACGGCTCTACTTACGTACCTGTAGGAAACGCTGCAGCCGGTCGAATAGCTGCGAGAATGTGGGCCTCTGGCTGGCAATTGGGTTCCAGCACGTTTGCATCAGCTTGTGGATCTCTTCCGGGCAACCTGCACCGAGACTATTCCGTACAGGTACTATAAACGCTTTTTGTTAAGGTTCCGTACCCAAAGGGGAAATAGGCACCGAACCGGTAAAGAACTGTAACTTCAAAAAAGGTTTAAACTAAAACAAATAGTCTTGTAGTGGTCGTGTTGGGGTTAGATGTTATTTGTCCCACGAAGTCCCGCACATCTCTGTACGACGACCGTCATCCAGTTACACTTATGGGGCCACCACTCCGTTCCAGGGTTGATTACTCCATTGTATAGGACCTACCGCGAAGTCATCTACCATCAACCCTTTTCCGTGGGATAAACTCTCTGTGTATCCCCTGCCACTGGATCGGGAGTGGCAGGGGTATGTGGGAGTCCTAGTAAGAAACGGAAAACTATCTCCGCCGGATCGGCCGGGGACACCGGGACACGTGGACGCAATCTTCCTCTAAGGCTATTTTGGGCCTAACCTTATAAATGGTACTGTGCCGGTGTGTACCATCAACCCTGCCTCGCACAGTTAGCCCGTTCGATGAATCTCTAACTCTTCGCGGCGCGTGGCCAAAGGAAGTCAACCGTTCAACCTGGTGAAAGAAAATTCTAGAAGGATAGAAGGAATCGCGTACCGTGATTGTTTCCCAGCCTGCCCCCCTTGGAGACCAGCTCCATCACGTGTCTGTTGTTGCAGCCGGTGTACGGCATCATACCCAGAGAGAAAATCTCCCAGAGGAGCACCCCGAACGACCTAATGATAGAGATTCCGAAGATGTTAATGAAGTCCTGGTATGCAAGTAAAGTATCATTAAAGTAACGGCTTATACTCGTATAGATATGTCCCACTACCAACCTCTGTTCAGTGGGTTATACATGGTTTTCTTTCTAAGTTAGAAAGTGGCAACCGAGCTGGTGGATCACCTGATGTTAAGTGATAATCGCTGCCCATAGACATGTGTAACACCCATAGCGTTGCACCTTTCAATAAAATGGGCCTTTTAATATACACGAATGCCAACTTAGGAATATTTACAGCAAAATCTGTTGTGTAACTCTACCAAAATAAAACTTTTTTTTAGTAATTTAAAGTTTTTTATAGTGCTAATCTCTGCACTTAAGATTAAACATTAAAACTTGTAGAAAAAGCACGAAAAGATTGTCGCCGCTGTGGGAATCGAACCCACGTCTTCGGCATTCACGGCCTGACGCTTTAGCCACTGAGCTAAACGGCTTACTGCCACACCGACGAAAATCTTAACGTCTTTTATCTACATTGTTTTATTAGAATTTGAAGCAATGCTTGGCGCTTCTATTGTTATATAATTTCCAGCATACGATTCCGACAGCGGCGACAATCTTTCGTACTTTTTCTACAAGTTTTAATAAAACTTTTTTTTATTAATGTTAATAAAACTAGCCTACGAATTTCTCGTTAAAAGGTATTCTATAATAATCACTAGCCCATTAAAAGATACATATTTTCGATATGAGCAGATCTAGAAGTAGAGACATATCTTTACCGCATACAAAAAATCGATAGCATTGTATTTATAGTATACCATCGGTTTAAAAATGAGATATCTCTCATTCTCTTTTCTCATATCTCTCTCCAATCAGAGGAAAATTTCACAGATCTATCTAGAACAGTTGAGCACTGGTCACGGTTCTTACGTCGTGTTCATTCCAATATTATACTGGCACCCATATGTTCCACCTAGAAAAACGAATGGTCGACCCATATACGATTTTACCACTTAATGAAGAAGTACTCAAATTCTGTAGTTTCTTTTTCTCTTCTTTCACATTGCCCTTACTTTAGGACAACATTATCCTATGTTGTAAGGACGTTTTACATGTATTAATTTTACAAGGATAATCACCCAAATGGGAAAGAATTATCTGTGGGTCATACAAATAGCTGTTCCGTGTGAGAATCGAACCTATCACCCCGACGCCAAAGCCAATACCGCGGCAACTGCACCACGAGGTCATCATGTCAGAGTTGTAGTACTTCTTCCGACTGCACAATGGAAAATTTAGGGAAGAATATCTCGAGCGCAGTCTACTTGGTCGGTGAAAACTGACAGACTGTCTGAGTCTACCTTTTCAGTGGAAAAGTGGATAGTGATTATAAAAAACTCTCCTATTTTTTGTACTATACCAGACGTCGGTCTTGATCGTGAAGATCCCGTCGACGTACGCCTCCGGGGGCATCCATTTGATGGGCAGCATCGCCTTCCCGCCCTTCTTGTAGTACTCCGCGCGGTAGACGTCCCGCGCCATACCAAAGTCTGCTATCTTCACGACGCGCCCCGGCCCGCGCGACGTGAGCAGGCAGTTGCGCGCAGCAATGTCCCTGTGGTTTCACAAGTAGTGGGTGTTAGTGCAGTCAATCTTATCGCTGCCAATGTGACATGATGCAAAAAATTGTGTTGTACTGCTTCAGTGTTCTCACAATGACTTTTTATAATTTTTTCAAATATAGTATTGAAATGGTCACAATGGGGTTGACATATTGCTGCCAATATCAAATAGGTAAACAGATAACTGACGAGCATGTTTAAACATACTTTTGTAGGTATATATATATATATATAGTCCTTTTCTTGGTGGCATGTCTGTTATTCATGTCAATATTAGAGATGAAGTTTATGAAGCTCTTAAATCTTCGACAATTCACCTTATTGATCAGAAAGCAATCAACTTGATTTCGATTTATAACCTTTTAATTCCAATTCCAATTCCAATTTTAGGTTTATGGCTCCATCAACATATAACTTGATGATTCTGCCAATGTCAAGGTTGAATAAAACAAAGAGTTACTGATATAATTAGTCGGTAATATTGACTTTTAAAAAGTAGGTAGACAATTACACATATCCGGTTGAGTTACCTGAATGAGGACAAAACAATAAGTTAGTTTATATATAATTATTCAAATATGATAAATTAAAAAAGTAAGTAGTTAAGGACGATACTATAGGACAATATTTAAAAAAGAGATAAAGAAAAACAATATTAACCAAGGAAAAGAGTGGAGGAATAGGGGTTAGAGCTTGATGTTATTGCTACGAAGGAATTTGTATAAAACTTTGATAAAAGGGGATTCAGTAAGAGTTAAAAGGAATGGGATATTAACAGGCCTAGGAAAGTTGTGAGGGAGAATATCATAGAGAGGGGTTACAATGTTTGGGCAAGAAAAAAATAGGTGTTCTAATGTACCCTCAGCCAGGCCACACTGGCAAATTGAGTGGTCGCGTATATGGAGTTTAGCCAAAAAAACTGGGGAGCAAACATGTCCTAATCGAAGACGTATGATCATAGAGGTAATCATCCTATCTAATAATTTATATTTAAAGAACCAAGGTCTTGATGGAATAATTGGCTGAATATTACCATAATATTTACCTTTTATCAATTTAGAGCGTTGCCACAAATTATTCCAAGATTTCATTAGACATGGCTTAGCCAAGGAGCGTAGGTCACGGGCGGGGATACTTGAGTGACAAGTGTAACCTATCTGAACAGCTTGTTTAGCATAAGAGTCGGCGGCTTCGTTCCCCCAGATACCCAAGTGACCTGGGATCCATGCTAACACAATCTTGACACCGGCTTTTTCCAAACTACACAATATTTCTTTAGCTCTCAAGGTATATACTGAGTTAAATTTACTATGAAATGGGAGCTTCCTCAAGTCTTCCAAACAGCTACATGAGTCACTTAATATCAAAGATTTACTGAAGTGGGTTTGGTTAGCATCTATATATTTAATGGCTTCCAAAATAGCTATTGACTCGCCAGTGAAAACAGAGCATTCCATGGGACATTTAAAGCTTAAAACAACATTATATTTTGGAATGAAGACTGAGGCACCTACGTGGGAATTCTCTGATTTGGAAGCATCTGTGAATATCAGAACCCAGTCCTTCCATTCATTATTTATTATTGTTTTAAAAATGGGTATTGGCATCTATTGAACTTTTATTTAACCCAAGGTTTAAAATGATTTTTGGTTGGAAAATAAGAGCATCATAGTTAGTTGTGTAAAGAGGGTGGTTTTCTAATTGGAGGATAGGAGATGACAGGTTTTTATATGCATTGAGGCTATTAACCAGCAATGGGGGAGTTTTGTTGGACCAATATGAGGAAGAATTGATGGAACGGGAAAGGAGATGTAACGTTTTTAATACAGGATGAGAGGGATACTGAACAGCATTGGAGAAAAATCTGTCAGCTAGAAATTGTCTACGAAGAAATAAAGGAGGTTCAACACACTCAACTTGGAGGGCATTTATAGGGGAAGATTTCATAGCGCCTGCAAATATACGTAGACATTTGGACTGTATTTTATCTAGCTTTCTAAGAGCTAGCTTGCTACATGGCTCTAGTATGAAGCTACCATAGTCAAAATGACTACGTACAATTGCGTTATATAGTAATTTCTGGGAGAAAGGATGAGATCCCCAACGAACTCCGGATAAAGCTCTTAGTATGTTTATACTTTTTTCACACTTATTATGTACATACTGTAAGTGGTATGTACCAGACATCTTTGAGTCTAGAATGACCCCTAAAAATTTGATTCGATCTTGAAACAAGATACGCTCACCCTCCACCAAGAGACTTAACGAGGGGATATGACGTTTTCGAGTAAAAGTAACAGCGTGACATTTCGGAATGGATAAATTTAGACTGTGATCTGAAAGCCAAATATTTAAGTAGTGTAAAGCAGTGTTTAATTGTGAGCATCCTTCTGGAAGAGAGAGAGCAAGTGGTGTAGAGGGCAATGTCATCCGCATATTGGAGAATTTTACAGAAGGAGTTAACGGTCGTGTCAAGGTCGGAAGTATACAGATTATATAATAGGGGACTTAGAACAGAACCCTGGGGAAGGCCTCTCCAGACAAGACGTGGGGGAAGGATAGAGCCAGAAGAGCGAAGACATATAGAGCGACATGAGAATAAATTAAAGATTATATTAACCAGTCTCACAGGGATACTCAGTTTAAGCATTTTCTGCCTGAGTATTGGAAGCTGGACATTATCATAGGCCGAGGAGATGTCAAGGAAGACTGCAATGACATGTTTATTGCGAGAGAAAGCAAGCCTAATTTCAGATGTGAATACGCTAAGACTGTCCATTGTGCTCATGCCACGCCTAAATCCGTATTGGCTACTTGACAGTAGACCTCTGTTTTCGAGAATCCACTCAAGTCTATTTTTTATAAGGTGTTCTAAGATTTTAGCCAATACAGAGGGTAAGACAATGGGTCGATAGGATGTAGGGTTATTAGGATCATTATTGGGTTTTAAAATTGGAATAACTATGTGGGTCTTCCACGGATTTGGGACTGACCCAGAAGAAAAGATTTCATTAATAATATTGAGAAAAAATAATTTTGAAGAGCATGAAGATTTAAGTATAAAAGAATAAGGAATACCGTCTACGCCTGGAGAGGAATCTTTGAGGTTGTCAAGAGCACAACAAAGCTCAGAATAGGAGAAAAGGTCATTCATTCTATCAGGTACAGAAGAAGGGATATAGGGAATGGGTAAACAGTCATAATAAGGAACAAAAGGAGGGGCTAGTATGTTTACAAAATTATCTAACCAAGTAGAAGGATCATTGGAAGAGGTATTACGATCAATGAAAGTTCCCCGAAAATTGGTAATTTTTTGCCACACAATAGAAATGGAAGTACAGGGAGACAAGGACTCACAGAACCTACGCCAACCTTCAGATTTCTTTTTGGCTAAAAACCTTTTTAGTTTTAGCACAGGTTTTCTTAAAGTCAAGGTAGTTCTCCATGTTTAGATTGCAGGCATATTTTTTCTCAGCATTGTTCCTAGCTCTAATAGAAGCGGTACACTCAGAATCCCACCAAGGAGGAGAGGGGATGCACCCACGGAATGAATTTTTTAACGGTATAGACTCTTCAGCTGCTGAAATCATACATGAGACAAATTCATTATATAAAGCCAAAAAATTAGATGAGTTGAGAGGAGGGAGATGGAGTATTTTAGAATCTAAATTAATAGAAAATTTATTCCAGTCAGCATCAGATAATCTAAATCGTTGTAAAGGGGGCATAGTAGGAAGAGAGGGAGAATTTTGAAGAGATTGGATTAAGATGGGGAAATGATCACTGCCGTAAGAATTAGGTAAAATAGACCAAGAAAGAGAATTAACTAGGGAAGGGGAAGAAAGGGTTAAATCAGGGGCATTGGAGTTCTGCCCAGGTGGGGTTCTTCGTGTTGCAGATCCATTATTTAAAATACAGAGATTATTATCATCTAATAAATCTAATAGGAAGGAAGAAGCAGTGTCTACATGATGGGACCCCCACATATGATGGTGGCAATTGAAGTCTCCAGAAACAAGAAGAGGGCCAGGGATAGTGGAAAGAATACTACTTAATTCAGTAATGACAATGCTATTAGGGTGAGGGATATAACAAGAAATGTAAGAAATATTTTGAGATTTAATTGCGACTATGTGAAGATCAGGACTGTGGTTAGGAATATGGATTTGTGAGAAGGTGATGGATCTTGAAACTATAAGGGCACAACCTGCCTTGCCATCATCCCTGTCATCTCGGAGGCACGAATAACCTGGAAGCCTAAAGATGGATCTTGGTCTCAACCAAGTCTCCGAGATAGCAAGGACAATGGGTTTAAAACGGTTAATTAATGAAATAAGATCGTGTTTTTTGTGGCGAATGCTTCTACAATTCCACTGAAGAATTGTCGCCATTTTTGGTAATTAAGCGTTCGAGCAGTTGTTGAAGTAGGGTAATGACATTGTTCGGTAAGGCATCTGAAAATTTGGATATAATGTTTATTAGGGAGCAGGTAAGAAGTTCAATGAGGTTGTCATTGGGGGTAAGCATTGGGGTGGACTCTATGAAGGGAGAGGATAAAGCACAACCATTAGGTTGTGATGACTGAGGAGAGCTTATTATATTTTGGTGGGCTGAGACATCATAGGTCTTGCCCAGAGAAGTTACGGGGCGTGGAGATTTAGACAGGGTTTTGGAGTAAGAGGTCTGGGAGTTGGATTGTGGAGAAGAAAGTAGGGGATAGGTAGTTTGCCGAGATAATTGAAATGACTGAGATTGTTGGGATTTTTGAAGCGGATAATGATGTTGAGGGGAAGAGCTGGCCATGTCAGCATAGGGACGTCTGGAAGGGGGAAACCTGAGAGCGGCTTCTGAATAACTTATATTGTCCTGAGACATCACAATTTTAATGGACTTTTGTCTAGAATGCTCAGGACATTTGGAATCAGTTGCCCTATGATTTCCATTGCACAATATGCAAGAGGAATTGATTTCACTGATAGTACAGTTATCTCCAGTGTGACTCTGCCCACAGCGATAGCATCTTGGTTTAGACCTGCACTGGGACCCAATGTGTCCAAATCTACAACAGTTTCTGCATTGAATAGTAGGTAGTTGATATGTGGAGACTGGAAGGGATGATTGATAGCAGTATACTCTTTCAGGAAGAGTTTGGCCCAAAAATGTAAGGACTACAGTGGTGGAAGGAACCCAGGTAATTTTATCATCTGTTCTTAGTTTTGTATTAAGTCGGCGAGCCCTAATAACTTCTCCGCAATTGGAGGGAGTCTTAATGTTCTCTAACAATTCTTCAAGTGTCCAGTCAGTAGGAATACTTTTGACCACTCCCATGCGAGTAATATGGAATCTTGGAATAACAGCATTAAAATTATTTGTAGGTAGAAAATCATTAGACAGGAATTTATTAGCCTCTGAGTAAGATTTAAATTCAATTGAAAACTTGTTTCTCCCTAGTGTATTTATGCCTCCTTCTGCTATACCCGGCACTTTGTTTTTGTGTATAAGTTGTGCAAATTTAAGTAGCCTGATTGGCAGGCCAGATGACAAGTCAGGTTCAGATTTGGTGACGTGTACAATGAATGGAGATTTGTCATAGTCGCTGTAACCTAGTTTGGAGTCACTTTCGTAACCTTTTTTGGAGTATATTGATTGATAAGAGGTCGAGGGTGGAACCACTTTTTTTTGTCGGAAGTTTCTATATTTTCCTGCCGGTCGCTTACGGTTAGTATTAATATTTGGGTGCGTTGTGACGATGGAGTCACTAGTATCCATTTTATTATCGGGAGGGCGACCTCCTCCCCCATCCGGTGGTTTGTCTTCGCCCAATTCCCTCATGGGGAATTGGGGTGGAACGTAAACTTAAAAACACTTACCAATACCACAGAAACCACCACCAAACACTCACAAAACAAACAATTTTAGGTATTTGACTCAAAGGGATAAAGGTTTAAATCGAAAATCACTCAACAACGTGTTTACATCAACACATTGACAAGCAGAATCTAACCTTTTAATACTGTTACGAAGCTGCGGGATTGGAGTGACACCGGTATTCTACTACACCAATATTATTATTTATTTATTTATTCTTTATGCACAGACCATAAGTCTTCTACAGGTGCGTAGACACTCATGGTGTCATTGACACTCAAGAGAAAGAAGAAGAAAGTCTTCCCTTAGACTTCTTCACCTCTTCTCAGTTTCACTGAGACTTTTCACTTTTCCTTTTCTTCGCTTTCTTCTTGTTCTCGCTCGATGGCAGTTCAATGGTGAAACTAAGAGTGGACGAGTTCCACTCTTGAACCATCATCTAGCAATTCGATAGACCTTTTGCGAAAAACGTAGAACATTTGCTCCGTATAATACGGAGTTACTGATTAAACGTGTTTTATTATAACAATCGTTCTGATCTAGTTAGTGGGAGCAGAACACAAAACAAAAATGCCCTTAGGTCTGTCCATAGGCTGAAAGAAGAAAAAGATCTTTGAATAGTTCAAATAAAGATCGAGGAATTGGAAAAGCTTACCGATGGATGAACCGCAACCCCTCTAAATATCTGGCCCCCTTGCACACGTCCAAGCCGCAAAGAATCAGGTCTTTCATGGTGAGGGCGCTGGCCCTCTCGGGCTTGGGCCGGCTCTCCCTGAGGAAGTTCTTCAGGTCCCCACCCGCCAGTAGTTCCAGGACAATGAATCTGGACGCAGGGAAACAGAATAAACACTGTTTATTTCCGACTGCCGGACGGGAGTAGAGCTGTTGGAGTGTATGTATGTTTTTTACGTTAGACATTAGCAAGCCAGCTAGACGTTCATCTAATGTTAAGAATCCGCTTCAAATAGACCTTTGAAACACCCTTAGGGTTTCGCATGCGTTGCCACTTTTTATTAAAGTGGGCAACGCACTCACTAAGCGAAATGTAGAAGTATAGCACTTACACTTCGTCTTTTAGTATTTATTGTTACGGTGGCAAGAGAAATACATCATCTGTGAAAATTTCAACTTTCATGGTTCATAAGATCCAGCCTTGTGACAGACGGACAGACAGACAGCGGATGCTCGGTAATAGGGTTCCGTTTTACCCTTTGGGTATGGATGCCTTAAAAAAGCTCACCGCGGATGCCTGTCGAAGCACACCCCGATCAGGTGCACCACGTTGGGGTGGTTGAACTTGGCCATTATCGCGGCCTCCATTAGGAAGTCGGACTCCGCCTGGCCGGTGGAGAGCTCGGGCAACGTCTTCACCGCCACCGGCATCTCGGCGGTGTCGCCGCTGCGGTGCCGGTACAGGCCTTGGTACACCTCGCCGAAGGCGCCCTGCCCCAGCGCCCTGGCGAAATCCGAGGCAGAGGTCGCTTCAAAGTCAAATACGATCCGTTCAACTGAACTAATTGCCCGAGCGGCATTGCGAAGTCAGAGGCAGATGCTAAATAAACTGAGAGGGTCATTTGATTTTCATGTTTGAACTTAAGTGCAGAGACTAAATAAAGAACTAATCTAAGAGGGCCCTCGTGTCAGTGCGGAGACTAGCCTAAGACTAGAGTAAGGGGCCGTCGAATAAAATTAAATTGAAAGCAGAGACTAGCGACTGGCATCTTGAAAAAAAAATAAAAATTTCTGCATTAAGAGTTTTGCATTAATTCTTTTTCCATCCACCCTCAACACTTAACACATAACATTAGATGCGGGGAGGGCACAAGAGTGGCTACTTGTGTAACCGGCGAGCCACTCACTTGACGAGCTTGAGGCTCTCGCGCGAGACCTTGGGCAGGCCGCGCACGTCGACCCCGCGCGGCAGCACGCCCTCGCCGCCGTAGTGCGGGTTGAAGGCCATCGCGAGTGCGCCGTCGCCGGCGGGCGCGTGCCGCAGCCGGTGCAGCTGCATGTCCTGCTCCATCAGCTGCTTCTCCGTCTGCTCGGCCTCGCGCCGCCGCTGGTACCCGTTGTCTGCCGGAGAGGTCGCGTCAACACCCCCGCCGAGAGTGTTGTGATAGCTTCTATGCCCCCCCCCCCCCTTTTATAGCCCCTTTTATTCTTAGCTAACGTTACATTTAATGATTTTTCTTTCCTTCCCCGACCCATTCAGTCAATGCGCCATTTTGAAAGTTCTATACTGTTAGCATAACCGAAAACAGTTTTTTTGTTTTTTAATTTTCCATTATGTATTTCAAAATTTAACTCACTACACTATTTATTCTCTACACAAAATTTAACTATGTTAAATCTCATACTTCACCATGTACTATTCTCAAAGAGGGATCCAAAGTTTTCACATCACGTAATAATATATCGATTTCTTTTCAAATGCTATTTCATCTCCAGTATAATTATATAAGAGACCGATAATAATACACGGTTACACTTACACATATTAAGACAGGCGAAACCCGTGAGCAGCAAACAGACTAAAGCGAGGACTCCACTGAGGGACGGTACCAGCCATTGCTTCGTCCAGTGCTCTTCCACTGCGGATAGACTTCAGTTAGTTGCGTTCAAATTGTTAACAAAATTGTACTAAGCGTAAGAGAGTTCGTTATCAACAGCTACGAAATGAAACGGTTCTTATGGCACATGACTGGCTGAAGCTGAAGATCGGGCCGAGTGTTGTGCCTTGGGGGACCCTTAATCGTTTTTATACCATCAAGTCACCTGATTGAGGCCATCTGAAAATAATCATACGCCTTGCGTGATACATTTAAGTCTAACCCATGCGTGCATCTGCTTCAACTTATAATATATATAAGATAGTCCTCCTTCTCTACACTCTGACTGTAGTCAGAGAATAGTTATCCTTTGCTTCGTAGGGCATGACTATATATGGGCACGGGATTTTGTGACATTCAAAACTTCATTCAATATTGACTTTTCACCAGCCTTTATGAATGTCGAACATTACAAACGGTTCACTGAACTGGACAAACAAAGTGAAAGGTGTTTGTGCATAATTCTTATTTTCTATTAGCTCTTTAAAACGGTATTAGCATAACATCCATACAATTTGATCTTCGACTAATTGATTGTCGAACTATTGCCAGGTTCAAACTAGCGACCACTGTTCGAAGTAGACCGGGTGAGTTTGGCGTCAGCACTTACGTATACACTTCGTGGGGTCCGTGTAGTCGGAGATCCAGGTGTTGGGACAGTAGCAAGTCACCTCGCTTATGTGCTCGTTCAGAGCGACGCAGCGGTAGGCACAACCACATTTCTGCCGACAAGACATGCCTCAATGTAATCAGCATTCGAATCATGTAAAGAAATATTTATAAACATACATTTATAAATAATTTTTTTAAAGTTTTTTATAGTTCTAATCTCTGCACTTAAGAATGAACATTAAAACATGTAGAAAAAGTACGACAAGATTGTCGCCGCTGTGGGAATCGAACCCACGTCTTCGGCATTCGCGGCCTGACGCTCTAGCCACTGAGTCTGATCTTAAGTGCAGAGATTAGCACTATAAAAAACTTTAAAATATTTATGAAAAGCAATGGCGACATCTCTCGTTCGAATTATCGTTGTAAAACGATATTCGAAATTGTTTGTATGTTGGAAAGGATATAACAATAGATGCGCCAAGCATTGCTTCAAAGGCTAAATAACAATGTAGAAAGAAGGCGTTAAGGTTTTCATCGCTGTGGCTATCAGCCGTTTAGCTCAGTGGCTAGAGCGTCAGGCCGCGAATGCCGAAGACGTGGGTTCGATTCCCACAGCGGCGACAATCTTTTCGTACTTTTTCTACATGTTTTAATACATTTATAAATGTTTTCATATAATAAATATTCATTTAATGCCATTTTCACAAAGAAAGTCATCTCGCACAGGAGATTTTTAGGTTATTTTTCTTTTGTCACACTAAACGAGCATTAGTTCTTACATACGATATATAAGATACACATACTCTTTAACAAAAAACTCTTTTTCTGACACGCTTAAATAAAAAATATTAAGACAAAAGATACAGAAAAGGGGCAACTCACGTGTATAGGTTCAAATCGGTAATTAACTATTGCCACTTCCCTAACCCCGTCAAGTCGAAAGTGCTAAGTTGTTGGCAAGATCACTGACGTGTCGGCGGTACCGTAGTTGGATTTTTTAAACTGGATTGCTCCTAGATTGCTCAATTATATTATAACATATACCAACTATAGAAATATATATTAATCCTAAATTGGCTGTAAGCTAAGCATAACAATAAAACAAAAAGAAAAACTCACGTGCACGGCGGGCACGACGAGCACCTCGCCGGGGCCGGTGCGCGTTGCGGGCCCCACGTGCGAGTAGCCCTGCACGCCGCGCGCCAGGTCCACGTACGACCAGCCGCCGCCGCCGTGCTGGCCCTCGCCCTCGTTCGTGTTGCCTCCTGCGCGCGGCTCTACTTAAGCTGGTCGTGGTGCATCTTGAGCTCTACGACTTTAGGACTTTCGTGTTGCCACTAGCGTACGGCTCTACGTAAGTTGGTGGCTATACTCGTAAGCTGGTCGCAGTGCCTGCACACGGCCCTAAGCTCGTAACACCAGCCACTGGACTCCGTGGAGTGTGTATACGCTTCCACGACAACATCGCAATATTTGCACAATACCCCATAAACAGGCTTAAGAAATTCATTTAAATTAGGATCCTTTAGATACACTTCCCAATCCAAGTCCTATTAAAAGAGGTTATCCTCTAGGTCGTAGCCCTGCGTTTTGTTTTGACGCAATTTTGGACTACAATGCAAAGCTTAGGGGTGACACGCCAGTGTGTACCGCTGCCTATAACTCAAAGTAGTCACGATGTCAATGTGTACATCTGTCTATAACCATAATAGGGTTGTCACGATGTCAGTACGTACCGCTGCCTATAGCTAAAACAAAGTAGTCACGATGTCAGTGCGCACCTAATACCCACTATTTATAACCAAAATAGGTACTGCTATCGATAACCAAAATAGGGATGTCACGATGTCTGCGCGTACTGCCTATAACCGAAATAGGGTTGTCGCGTCGCGATGTTACCGAGCCAGCCGCCGCCGCCGCCGCCCCTGAGGCAGCCGCCACCGCCGCCGCCGAAGCCGCCGTCGGCGAGGCCGGCGCAGGCCCTGCCGCCCTCGCCGCCCTCCAGCAGCGCGGCCCCGCGCACCAGCTCGTGGCCGGGCGTGCTGGGCCCCACCCGCGACATCCAACCACCGCCGGCGCCTGGACAAAGGGCGAGCTGGCGGTTCACCCGATGTTGAGTGACAATTTGCACCCGTAGGATTGCTGATGCGTTGCCACCTTTCAATTAAGCGAGCCTCAGCTACCTCGCTCAACAGAGGAAACGCGAAAGTGTTGTAACGGGTGATTTCATCACTTTGTCTAAATTGTTGTTTTTCTAAAGACTAGGCTGCATTTCCTATGAACCTTTGCCTTTTCGGAAGATCGAATCAAAAAGTTAAGTTCATTTGTTGGTACTTGTCATTTGAGATTGCCGCCGGTTCGAATTGACATTGGATAAATTAGTTTTTGTGGATCCATTATCTTCGACTGGTAAGTAGTTACTTGGTTTTGTTCATGCCAGTGGTTGTTTTGCTTACGTATTTCGTTTTCTTATCAATTCGCTTTTTTACAGTGCATGGCTAGAGGTTGAAATCAGAACACGTTCCTGGTCGTATTGTCTGTGTAATTCCGATCTGGGAACTCTTTGCTGGATTTGTTATCCCTCGTGGTAAGATCCTTTGTTATTTTCACTGGTTTCCTACTAAAATTGTAAAAGACTAGCATTGAGAATGTATTTGGAAATCTCACATGAAGGTAGGTTGAGAATTTTATTGTCTCATGTTTCTAAGTATGGTGGCTGGCAAGCTGGTCTGAGCTGCTGCTCGATTAAATATTGTTTTTTACCTCCAGTTGGTAAGTGTTTCACATCTTATAATAGTGGGTAGATTCATATCCCTGTCTTTGTTAGTTCTACAATGTAGTGTTTGTTAGCAGGTCTCCTACATACCCCCCAACAGTGTGGCTGTACACACTACACTTGTCCTGATTTTCTCTGCTGGTTCTGAGCTCAACGCTGACCTATGCATACAACGCTGACGGTTGCTCGAGCATATTGAATTATTTTACTATATTAAAAGCGAGCGCCCGGACACTGAACTACCAAATGTACACGCCAAGCAGTAATATCTAAATCTTTAGACAATTCGCTTTGTCGTTTATCGCTTTTTGATCAAAACATAAAATTAATTGTAATATATTACGATAAAAGCAATCATTACATGTATTTAAATTGTACTATCGTTAAGAACAGGTATGTACAATTTCATGGATCTGTAGAACAGTACACAGGCTCCGGTAGTTAATAGTTGTATAGACATTCGTAGCGTGCGTAGTTTCGTAGGTGCAATGTAGAGGAGGCTACAAAAGGCGTAGTTGCTTTTGTAGAGGCTCGTAACTCACCGGAAGTGCGCCCCGGCGGCCCGTACATGTAGCCCGACTCCGGCGTAGCGTTGGTGCGCGCGCGGGCGTGCTGCGAGCCGTCGTCCCGGAAGACGCCCACGCTGACGCCCCCTCCGCCCCCCGCGGCGAGCAGGGGGTACGCCTGCCCCTCTTTACCGATCTATGAAAGGCAAAGGACATTTTTTATATTGAAGGTGGCAAGTGAGCTGGTGGCTCACCTGATTAATGATAACCACCGCCCATGGACGCAAATGTCCATGGGCGGTACACACACCCGTATGACTGCAGATAGGTTGCCACCTTTTAATAAAACGGGTCTCGGCTACTCCACTCGCTAGACGAACGCGACGCTATAATACCACTTCACGCCGGTCTTCTTTGAGGCCGTGGTACTCTCTCGGACGAGCGTGCCCATTCGAGAAACATCTGTTGCATAGTCCTACCACAGAGGCCTACTACAATTTTTAATTACATCAAAATGTTAATATCACAACGTTGCAAAAGTTGTATTTTTTTTTATCCTTTTTAAACATGTGGTGCTGTTGGTGTGTCTATAATAAGAAGAGGCAATGCCTATAATATTCTATTGCCTATTAGTGTGCTTCAGAGTGCTGCCAACTTTTACGCAGGAACGGCCAACGAATCAACATCATTTTGTGCAGACTTATAAAAGCATGGCTAGTGTTTGTAAAAGGATATTTGAAGTCGATTTTGTTTGGAAGTTATATTGTTAATACGTTTATAAATATTAAATGGATAAATAACGCTCACCACGAAGACGAAAGTGGCGCCCCCGCCGCCTCCGCCGCCGTCGTGAACTTCGGTATTCCGCACTTCATGCGTTTTGCTCGTGAACAGATTGAAGCTATCGTTCGAAGGTCTACGGGAGCACTCCTGACTCTCTTGCGCCGACAAAGTCTGTGAAGTGTCGTCCAAAAGTGTCTTTCGTAAATATTTTAAAACGCAAAAAAGAAAGAATGCTGTGACTACAAAGCCTTGTATGCTACGCTTTGTAGTCACAACATTGTGTTTTTTTTTTCATCTTAAATGCAGAGACTAGCACTAACAATAAAATTCAAGTTAAAAAAAATGTAAGAGCAATGGCGACATCTCTCGTTACAGATATTGATCGTTGAATGTGTTGTATGCTGTAAAGGATGCACACTAGATGGCGCCAAGCGTTATTAAAAATGCAACAGGACGAACGTGCCGGGCTGGTCATCGACCGCTTAGCTTAGTTGGTAAAGCGTCTGGACATGAAACCAGGAGACGCAGGTTAGAATCCCGCAGCGCCGTCACTATACGCCGCACAGACGCTAAAACCTTCATTGTGTGTCCGAACCGACCTTTTTGCAGGCGCTGACGCCCGTCTGCCCCACCAACATGTATAACCGCTCGCCTTTGTGCAGCTCGAAGAGGCCGCGCGACTGCGCCGCGTACGAGACCCCCGTCCAGGCGGAGCCCAGGCCCCCCGAGGCGCCCGTCGCTATTATCCTGCGGACGAGACGGCCTGTCTACCCTTCTGTGTTCACTTCATGTTGTTCACTCAAGCGACAACCGCCGCCCATTGACGTTTGCGGGGACAAGTTACAACCGTTGGGTTGCAGTCGCGTTGAACTTTTAATAAGATGACCCCCCGTGTTGAATGCAGAAGTGTAACACTGTGTGTCCACTTTATGAGGTCTTAGCACCTTCCAGACGGACAAGCCTATTTGTGCAACAGCGAGGACCGTTGCGTGGATCTACCACAGCTGCTCGTTACTTTTTTCACATAAATGGCAACTCAGCTAACGGTACATCATAAATCAGCGGTAAATGAATGAGCCACCGGCTAATTTGTCAAAGGCGAAAGCGCTTAGGGTTCTGGGTATTTGTTCCCAAGGATGGTTGACGTCAATCAAGAAACCACTTGTCAAGAAAGCTTTATTCATATTGTATCCAACCCACCTAGGTGGGATGAGAGCAGAAAGAATAAAAAGCCTGCAAGTAATCTACCTCAAAGCTAAAGTTATGAAAGACAAAATCATTTTTATAACATTTTTACTAATATATAAGATACAATATGTTAACAGTCTCATCCAATGAAAGATGGTTTTTGTTATGTTTTTTTTTTATGATCGTACATTACTAACGGAATTTATTTTGATTTTTAACATACATACACACACATATATAAGAAGAACGGTTTGAGGTAACAAACTTTAAAAACAAATACAGCTAAATTGAGCATTTCCTTTTTTGAAGTCAGCTAAAAAGTCACTTTCATACATCGTGTACATACAAAGGCATAGTCTCCACCTTACAGACCACGTTCTTAGAACAGATGAGAGTCACGGGAAGCGAGGCGAAATGAAGATGCGTTCTGTACTCATGTGTACATGTGCTAGGTGGAACGGTGATGCGTTTTGTACTCACTTGTACACCTGTGTGGTGAAATGAATTTGCGTTCTGTTCCCACTTGTACCCATGCGAGGCGGGACGAAGGTGCGCCATGTACTCACGTGTACATGCCCTCCGAGGGCACCTCCCATATCTGGATGCCCTGGAAGGGGGGCTCCTTCACAACGGTGACGGACACCGAGGTGTTGAAGTAGGCCGCGTCGCACATCGTCTGGTTCGGCCCGGAGCGGCCGGTGGCGCCGCACGTTGTGAAACGGTACACTGCAACGGCAATAATGTACACGGATATAAGATAATATAATAAACGTCTTCTATACAAATATTATTCCGACACAATAATAATTGTTTAGGACACATTTTTACACAAAGTTCTCTAGTTCAAAAATAAGCAACTTTTGTACAAAGGGTGATGAATAACTCATTACTTAAACATACTTTTCTTTTGTAAATAAATTATTATCATATTACAAATATATATAAACACCTAGACACTGAAAAAACACCATATTCATCGCAAAATATTTTTCCAGTAGTGGGGATCGAACCCACACGCGCTGGCGCAAGAGTCGTACTCACACGGGACGTCCTCGAAGTCAGGATGAGGCTCCGTCTTCTCTTCCAGCGCGGGGTCGTAGTAGTTGTATTCGCCGAGCTCTTTAGGGTCCATGTTTAGGCCAAAGCACTCCGGCGCCATAGAGAAGTCGTCGATGGCGGAGTCCGAGTAGATCCTCATTCCCATGCGCGTCTTGAACTGGAGGTAGTACCTGCAAGGCAGTTCCAACACGCCGCTATTAACTTCTATGCGCGTATAAGTGAAATGATAGAGGTCTGCCGTTCTGCTCGCGTCATGGGAAAACTACTGTAAAGTAGCAGCAACGTGTCCCACTGCTGGGCAAACGCTTCCTGTGTACAGAGGGTATTAGGGCATAGTTCACCACGCGGCCCCACTGCGAATTGGCGGACTTCACATACTTTCTAAACATGTTTTTTTCGTTATCTTCGTTATCATTTCGAAATTATGCAATTTTCCACACGATGTTATCCTTCACCGTTGAGCATATGATAAGGTCAGCACTTAAAATTAACAATTTCATAGGGGATCGAACTCAGATGATTGCTCGAGTACTTATATTAAATAAAATGCGAGCACCGGACAATAAGCTCTCAGGGCTTTGCGAGGAGACCTATGGAAATATGCCCTTACCGGCGCGTGATGTTCGGCAGGAATATGGCCGCCCTGTACCAGTTCTCGCCTTTGTCCTTGGTGGAGAACCAGAGCGAGGTGGTGATGTTCCCCCTGGTGGTGACTTCGACCACGTCCACGCTCAGCGAGCCGTAGTTCCTGCCGTTCTGCTGGTAGTAGAACCTTATCTGTTCGGAGGGAGTTTTATTATTACATCTACGTATCTTTACCATCTCCTATTGTCGTGTCGTATTTAAATGTCGTGTCAAAATATATCTTAATAATTTGTGTAAATGCTCATAAAATCTAATATGTGCCGATTTTGACTAGTCTTAATCTGGTTTCAAGATTATTATTACGTACAAACGTTTCTAATTTTTCTTTTTCTCTCTTGTCGCGTGACTTTTTATGGCTATCATTTGATACTGCTATCTTAAGTAAAATTAATGGAATCAACCTTTTCGATCTATAAAAGGCTGATTGTTTACTAAATTAATAAAATAAAGTTTCATCAAGTATTAAGGTTACTTATTATACGGGTCCTACTCCCTTTTCAGTGTAAAGCTTACACGAATGTTGATAAAATTAGTATTCAGATTTTAGACCGGAGAAACCCGGATATCGAAATCTGCCTGTGAATATATTACTTTGAAAGGCTTGAGGATCAGTTTGTTATAACTAAGTCAACGTATTAAACTCCATGAGCTGTTTATACCGAACACATGATCTCGTGTATTTTTGCTTATCAGAAGTACGAGAATTCTTACCCCTTTTTAACCAAATTATGAGCTGTTTTACTGAATCATCCCCTCACTACCTCTTTCCTTACCACAAATCTATTTCTTACCATACCTACATTGTACACCCCTAAATCTATTTCTTTCCGTCGCTTCTACCCCGAAGTCTAACCACTCTACTGATGCCCCTCCCCCAAGTTTCCACTCACCATACAGCTGCCCAACTGCCTTCCCGCTCGAAGGTTGCCACTCACCATGCAGTTGTAGTACTTAGAGGCAACATCGCCATGCACGCTGGGCGTCGGGTGGAGGAGAATGGTGCGTATTACCGCCCCGTTCCTATCAGCCCCAAATCAAATCCTCTCACTCGCTTCTACCCCGAAGTCTAACGACTCTACCTGCCCCTCAACCAGGTTGCCACTCACCAAGCAGTTGTAGTACTTACAGGCAACGTGACCATGCACACTGGGCAGAGGATTGAGGAGAATGTTGCCGCCCCATACCTATCTTCTACACTATTAAGTCTAACCACTCTACTGCTGCCCCCCCCCCCCCCAATCTTCCAACCGCCCCCCCGCTAAGGTTGCCACTCACCATGCAGCAGTTGTAGTACTTGGAGGCGGCGTCGCCGTGTATCTTGAGCCCCGCCCCAAGTTCCCACTCGCCATACAGCAGCCCAACCGCCCCCCCGCTAGGGTTGCCACTCACCATGCAGCAGTTGTAGTACTTGGAGGCGGCGTCGCCGTCTATCTTGAGCCCCGCCCCAAGTTCCCACTCGCCGTACAGCAGCCCAACCGCCCCCCCGCTAGGGTTGCCACTCACCATGCAGCAGTTGTAGTACTTGGAGGCGGCGTCGCCGTGTATCTTGGGCCCCGCCCCAAGTTCCCACTCGCCGTTCAGCAGCCCAACCGCCCCCCCGCTAGGGTTGCCACTCACCATGCAGCAGTTGTAGTACTTGGAGGCGGCGTCGCCGTCTATCTTGAGCCCCGCCCCAAGTTCCCACTCGCCGTACAGCAGCCCAACCGCCCCCCCGCTAGGGTTGCCACTCACCATGCAGCAGTTGTGTTACTTGGAGGCGGCGTCGCCGTGTATCTTGGGCCCCGCCCCAAGTTCCCACTCGCCGTTCAGCAGCCCAACCGCCCCCCCGCTAGGGTTGCCACTCACCATGCAGCAGTTGTAGTACTTGGAGGCGGCGGCGTCGCCGTCTATCTTGAGCCCCGCCCCAAGTTCCCACTCGCCGTACAGCAGCCCAACCGCCCCCCCCCCCGCTAGGGTTGCCACTCACCATGCAGCAGTTGTGTTACTTGGAGGCGGCGTCGCCGTGTATCTTGGGCCCCGCCCCAAGTTCCCACTCGCCGTTCAGCAGCCCAACCGCCCCCCCGCTAGGGTTGCCACTCACCATGCAGCAGTTGTAGTACTTGGAGGCGGCGTCGCCGTCTATCTTGAGCCCCGCCCCAAGTTCCCACTCGCCGTACAGCAGCCCAACCGCCCCCCCGCTAGGGTTGCCACTCACCATGCAGCAGTTGTAGTACTTGGAGGCGGCGTCGCCGTGTATCTTGGGCCCCGCCCCAAGTTCCCACTCGCCGTTCAGCAGCCCAACCGCCCCCCCGCTAGGGTTGCCACTCACCATGCAGCAGTTGTAGTACTTGGAGGCGGCGTCGCCGTGTATTTTGAGCCCCGCCCCAAGTTCCCACTCGCCGTACAGCAGCCCAACCGCCCCCCCGCTAGGGTTGCCACTCACCATGCAGCAGTTGTAGTACTTGGAGGCGGCGTCGCCGTCTATCTTGAGCCCCGCCCCAAGTTCCCACTCGCCGTTCAGCAGCCCAACCGCCCCCCCGCTAGGGTTGCCACTCACCATGCAGCAGTTGTAGTACTTGGAGGCGGCGTCGCCGTGCACCCTGGGCGGCGGGTTGAAGAGCACGGTGCGCATGACGGCCGTGGAGGCGAAGTCGGCGCGCTCCTTGTTGGGGCCGGTGACGTTCATGTTGACGAAGAAGTAGTAGCCGGCGCAGGGCGGGCTGCGCGCGGGCGCCAGCGGGGGCGTGGCCGCGTACGGGTCGGGGGGGCCGCACGTGTGGTCGTAGTTGGGGCCCGTCTTGTCCGTCGGCGTGGGGCCGCTGTGCCGCGACCACTTCAGGATGGGCCTGCTCGGAAGAAATACGTTAGGATCTCGGGAGCTTCGAGGCCATTGCTTTTACGTCTTGAGAGAGAACTGCTGAGATTGTTATTATTTACTAGCGCCCCGCTCCGGCTTCGCACGGGTGCGATGTATTATACGTATAAACTATCCTCCAGAATCACTGTATTTAGTAAAAAAAAAACGCATCAAGATCCGTTGCGTAGTTTTAAAGATCTAATACATAGGGACAACAGACAGCGGGACGACTTTGTTTTATACTATGTAGTGATTTTTAACTGTTCTTTTTTCATATTTTTCTTTTGGATTCGGATTGCAATTGAATTCAGTACTGCTGGTTTATGCTTTTTAGAATTTCAGTAAATATATAAATAAATGTAGAATGCATTGTTTGTGGCAGGTCCGTTCGGTTTTTCTGTTGCACGAATGGACAGGTCCGTTCGGTTAAGTACCACGACACACAGAAGAAGTGGAAATTTTGTACTTCCGCGTTTCGTCTGGTGAGTGAGGTAACTGGAAAATTTATTTAAAGGATATAACACATCTGCAACCCTACGAGTGTAGCAAATGTCAATCAATGGGCGGCGATTATCACTTAATATCAGGTGAACCGCCAGGTCACTGGCCCCCTTCTCACTTTGAAAAAAAAAAGAATTGTTCCGTTTTTTCAATCAGTTACAATAAATATTCGGTATATCACTTACTGCGGTATATTGACGAATCCGCAAGCGCCTGCCTCGAAGTTGCAATACGAGCCGAACGGCATTTTGTCTGCGAAATGAGATTTGTTTATTTAAACGTCTTATTTGAACGCTTTACTTGCAGTACTTGGGTGGTTGTTTCTATACAATCTTATAAGCAGAATAGTAATACAAATAAATGTAATATACTATGTTCGGGAGTTGTTATTGTTTGAATATAGAACATATATATCGATAGTTTATAAATAGTGCACAGGATGTTCGGGGATTGTTATTATTTGAATATAGAACATAATTACCGCAGTTCTGGTACTCATCGTTGCCGTCGTCACAGTCTTTGACCAGGTCGCAGACCTGTTGCCGCTTGATGCAGGAATCCTTCTGCAATACAAAAACAATGCGATCCAATTTAACCGTTAATTTTAGATTTTTTTATATTTGGTGCCAGTCTTTTCGCTTAAGATGAAACTTAAAAATGTGCAGAAAACTGTCGCAACGATAAAACTGTGGTAGGGCCACGGAGCAACTTTTGACATAAAAAATGTATAACAGCGGTGCTGTAAGGTGATGTGCTACGCAACACCGGCAAGTTTAAGTTTTTTTTTTTTTTGAGAAGGTGGCAAGCAAGCTGGCGGTTGATCCGATGTTAAGTGATAGCCGTCGCCCACGGACATTTGCAACACCCGTAGGGTTGCAAATGCGTTGCCACCTTTCAATAAATTCGGCCCCGGCCACCTCACTACAGACGAAACGGAGAAGTATGACACTTCAACTTCACGCCGGTTCTATGAGATCGTGATTACCCGGACCCGTCCATTCTTGCAACGGCCGAAGCTGTAGCAGTAGTAGACTCAGATAATCAGGATTGGATACACGACGAGACTGTGGCAGTGCCACGCAGCGACTGTTGCACTATCGGGCAATGCCGTCCGAGGTGCCACGGTCGTATTTGAAGGCTGACCAGAGTAGAAATAAATACGCTAACAAGTCAATTTTCTTATTAACGAAAAAACAAAACCGACTTGAAATATCTCCCTCCGCATTCGTTTTATAATTGATTTTCAGGAGTTCCCCTTGGTATCTCCGGAACCCAAGATCCAATAGCGATGAAATTATGGGGGGATTATACGGGACCACGTGGGGTGCACCAGCTTTCAAATAAAAAAAGAATCATCAAAATCGGTTCGCCCAATCGAAAATTCTGAGGGGACAAACATAAAAAAAACACAGTCGAATCGAGAACCTCCGTTTTCGAAGTCGGTTAAAAATGCATGTGGCTCACGTTCATGATCGTGCATTTGAGCTGGCGGTGCTGGCACTCGCCGTTGAAGACCGGCGGCTCGGGCAGGCACTCCACCATCCTGACGTTGTCGATGGCGATGTGCGGCAAGCTGCGGCCCAGGCTCACGAAGTTCGGCCTGGTCACCTCCACGATGATGCGCACCTCTTGCTGCATCTTGCCGATCACGAAGCGCAGCGGGTGCCAGCTGAGAAGGGGACGGTGGTAGGGGATACGGTGGTGGTGGGGAGTTCGTCAACTCCCCCGTCTACGCGGGTGGACAGCGGTAGGGGACGGGGTGAGTTCGTCAACCCCTCCGTCTATTACTTTCGGCGGCAATCGGTTCGTTGGAAGAAGAACCGACGAAAAAAAATAACCGACTTCAAAATAACCCAAATAAAAGTTTAAAATAATATTAAATCTAATGTAATCAAATCTAGAAAATCTAACCTATGTAACATAACCTTCTTAACATGTAACAAAATTTAACAATACAATATACTCGAGCAACCTGAGTTCGATCCGCGGTACCAGCACCAATGAAATTGTCAAATTTAAGTTTTTCGAAATAATAACAAAAAAATATTTCGAAGATAAATGTGAAGTCTGCCAATCCGCAGTGGGGAATTTAAAATAGGCTGGTATTTTACTTTTCTTAATTTATTTGGCAGTCTAAATTAAATATATAAATAAATTTTCAGCGTTTGAGATTTTGGTTTTATATAATTATAGCAATAAAATAAAGCAACAGCTGGGCAGAGGCCTCCTCTGTATAGAAGGTATTAGGGGGTAGTCCACCACGCGAACCCATGGATTGGCGGACTTCACACATCTTCGAAATATGTTTTTTTTATTATTTTGAAAGTATCCAAGATGTTTTCCAGGATGTTTTTGATAGCACTCAAAACTAACAATTTCATTGGCTCCGGGGATCGGATTCAGGTTGCTCATATGTATTACAACAATAAAAAGTACTTATTTACCGTAACTGGCGATCCCAGATCAAAATTCTCCAACTTTAAGATCGAAAAAGTCCTGGCCACATACCCGTTTTTCTCCATGTCTTTATTTATTTTATTTGTTATTTAATAAATTGCACTTTAGAACAACATTATCCAGTGTTGTAAGGACGTTTTACAAAAATAAATTTCACGCGGACAAACACCCAGATGCGAAACAATTATCTGTGGGTTGCACAAATAGTTGTTCCGTGTGGATATCGAACCCACGACACCCGACGCCGAAGCCAATGCAGACAGCTATCAGCTTTTTCGCTCGGATTTTATCTACAAATTCTATATATCGATATCTAGGAGTTTTTCGTTATAATAAAATAACGTCTTTATTATTCAGAGACAATTTAGAATTACACAAGAAAAGTAAATTGCTGAAGTATGTTTTCTTTCTTTCTTTTTTTTCTACAATATATTTTTATCTATACCTTTAGTACAATCAAAAATGTTATTTTTTCTATATATATTTATAATTATGTATCATAATTTTTTTTTATATTAACACTTTGTAATTTTTACATCCCCTGTTAGGTAAAGTTTATGGTAGATGCTACCATAAACTTTCACTATATCCTGGGTTGACTGGTAGAGGACGCCTTTGGCCATTAAGTCCGCCCTTTGTTACCTTTTTTCTCTTATTGCTAACAATAACGCATAAATAAATAAATAAAAAAGAAAATTCTAAGCGCTTCCAGACTTTATCCTTTTTATGAATATACAAACAAACACATTTAACTTTATTTATCGTGTACACTTACGTTTCGTAATTATTGCCGGCGACCTCTTGCAGGATCCACTGCACCTCCGACAATGTGGATTCCGAGATCAGCCTGATACTGGCGTTTTGCATCTTGCTCTGATGTAGTTTCGCCTCAAACTGTGCGACAGAGAGGTCATCGGCTCGTACATATCGTAAATAACATTACACAAAAGAAACTCCAACTTTCATTTTCTCTGCATCATTTGTGACTTTTATTTATAGCACACAGAACTATATTTCGTATCAGCTGTTTTCTTAAATGTTGCTTGAATATTTGTACACTATATGAACCACTCATCCTTCGTTCATCGCATAGGACCGATATTTTTAGGGTGACCATTAAAAAATCACGTTTAAAGGATTACCTTTAGACTTGATTTTTTAATGTTATGTTAATACATGTTCTAAGATATAACCGTGAATTGTGGTTTAGCAACTTCCACTGCCACTCACCTTGCAAAATTCTGAGAGGCCCCGGAACGGGGGCGATTTTATAACCATATTCTCCATCGTAGGGTCCACTGGAAGGTACAGGAAATGACCTGCGAAAGAGGAATACAAAGTATGGTGGTTTATTATTGCTTTTTATTTAAAAACGAAATTAATGCGATTTCGTTTTGTTTTTAAATTTTTAAGGCGCCAGGGTAATATATTCAGAATTGTATTGTTTGTGAAGATGCAAGATAAAACTCAAAATCACTCGCTTCCCGCCGCTTTATTTGAATCAAATGTCACAACCAACCTCTAGCCATAATGATCAGCAAAGCTACATTTAGACAAAACTATATTTTATATCAAACCTAAAAATTTTATAAGGGGCATTATCGTCGAGGGCGAAATGCTATGATTAAAAATTAATCATTAGCAACTGATATAAAACCAATCTATCCACTGAGACGAGACTGATATGTCATAATCATGTTAATTTATTGTCGCGATGGTAACGACACGTATATATCGGTTAGAGACTTACCGCTATAAGAAACAAAAAAATGTTGCGTTAGGATTTAACGAGGGATGGCCTGGAAAATTGTGTAGCTATACATATTCGTAGACATTAAGGACAATTTAATCTTATAAAAGTAATGCTTTAAATCAAATAGAATAAACAATTTTTAAAAGTGTTTCGTGACTCAAGAAACACGTAAATATTTCGGAAATTCTGTAAATATATGCTTCAGGCGTCTTAGTAATCCGTGTATTGCACACAAATTTAATATTCACGGCGGCGCCATCTTGGAAAAATTATTAAATTCTTTGACTGAAATTACTTCAGCTTCGACGTTTGCGTTTCTTTCTCATATTTTCTTTCATTATATACTTGTCTAGATGGCACATTAGCAGTAAAAAATATCTACTAACATTGGCAGACTCGCGTTTCACTTACTTCAGTGTCATTTGAATCACTAACAAACGTGCTCACGAATAATAATTAATTATGCCAGTTTGTGCTATCAAGTCATGTCGCAATTAGGTGGGAACATCGTATAATATTTTCAAGATCACTATTCATCCGTAAGTTTTGTTATAAACCACTATTAATTTAAGAAAACACGATTTTGTCATTCCGTAGGTTGGTCTGGTTAGCTGGTGTTGTCAGTTTATTACTAGGAAGTTTTTGGGAAAATATGGGAGACAAAAACAAAATACAAATATCATAATATCATCTTTCAGATCTTTATTTTAAAAATAACATTATTTATTTGATCGGTAAGTGATAATTTAGCTACACAAAATAAATGAAACCCATGCCGTCTTTCTCTTATTTTGGGTTTTACATTTCTTACGGATTCCGTTCTTGCAAATCGCTGCAGAGATTATTCAGCAGATTTTAGAAACAGATTTTTGATGTATAAACTATTGTAATTTTTCCATTGTATTTTTATTTTACTAAATAAAAGATATGCTACAAAATAATTACTTTATTCAACCTATTTTGTTCAACTTGCAGGCATCCCTAAACACGCACACCTTGACAGTTTGTTTACAATAAGTACATGAACGGCACTCACACATATCAGTCAATCGGAGACAGTTTTAGCGCGTCGTTTGTTAAGCATTGCTCCATCTAGCGAAGTATATAATCAAAGATCTGTGTAAACGAATGTAGAATTCTTAACTAATAATTATGTTTAGATTAATGAATTTTAACAAGTATATATATTTTAAAAAATAATAATTAATAACGTATAATTATTAATATAACATATAATAACGTATAATTGAGTTTGAGAACGCAAGTTTGAATTAAAACGAGATACATAAATGTCTCCGCGTTTCTCCGGTTCTCTTATGAGTAAGAACCGAAGTTACGCATTTTTGACTACGGTGAAGTGACAAGCTCATCACGAACCATGATTGGAATTTAATGAGTTCAATGAAAAACGAGGCTGTAAAGTGTAGCCCTTTAGGACGGTAGTGGAAGGTGGAAGTTTTGGAAGGTCAATTCTTTCTTCAAATTCAAATATAGCAAAAACTTTATAGTGTAGGTAGAAATGTAATGAAAATTTCGTCGAATAAATTGACAACAGAATTTTACATAAAAAATAAGTTTCTTTCTTTTTATTGTCATTATATTATATTATTTTATTTTATTGTCATTATATCATATTTCATGTCTGAAATAAAAAATCGCTTAAAGATGCTTAAATTATTAAAGATGTTAAAATTTACAAAAATTTTATATTTTGTTTCTCCAGACTCAAAGTAGGAGGGACTGACAATGAACAGCCGTCGATTTACTTTTGAACGACGCAAAGCGAAATAAAAGGTCGCATAATAGCAATTGACGACTGTTGAAACGTATTGCCATACACGTTTCGATCAAATCTATTTTCGCAACGCATAATTCCGAACACAGCGTCAGAACTTCTGGAACTGTCAGTCAGATTTTGCGCCAATTTCTGTATGAAAACAAAATGAACGTAATTCAATAGGTATGAGTAATCTATGAGAGAAGTCTAATTAGTAGTTAGTATAATTTAAAGGACAAGCAATTCACTGAGAAAAGAGAATAAAAATTAGAATATCTGAAATAATAGTAATAACAAAAGACACTAGCTTACAGCACAATAAAAAGGTAATCTGTTTTATGTCTGGCTCTTTTCAAGGTCAAGCTGTACGGCTCAGGAACTCGCTACCCGCCTCTATCAGAAATTGTTATTAATAATTGTTAAAAAAAAGAGACTTTAAAGCTAAGCCCTCCTTAATCTATGTAAGTTTGTGTATGTATATACTAGTATATTGTGTATGTATATACTATTTACATAAATTTTAGTGTACGTGTATATTTATATGTATGTGTTACGGCGCCTGTAGCGCCACCCGTGGTAGGATCGAAGAAGTCATCTGCCGTTACTATCATCTGTGTATCACGTCATATCCAACCAAACATCGGCACCGCGTATGACGTGATACTCGACCAATCACATTAAAGTACTTAATTTGTAACGTTTTCTTTAGAACTTGCAAAAATAAATTGTATCATTCTTACGCTAATTATACACCAGTGAAAACCTACGAGTTGTTTGGAATTTTAATACCAGAATCTTCAACAGTATGTAATATTTTATATATTATCATAGTTTTCACCATCTCATCTAGCTCTTTTGCACGTCCTTATTATCTTTGTTTTTTGTCGGTTGACTGGTAGAGAACACCTAATGGTGTTAAGTCCGCCATTGTGCGCTATTGTGCATTTAGTTTTTAAATATATAAAAACTGATTAAATATCCAGTATTTACTGTGTGCACATAATCAGGTATGAAAGTAATACGTTTAGGGAACAAATTGCTTTCATACCTGATTATGTGAATCCTTTTTTTAATATCAATATTTTACGAGTTTCTTCTTCCTATTGAAACATTAATTAAATAGGATAATGGGGGAGGGTACTTAGTAGAGCAACTTTCCTATCATTCGTTTCAAGCCTTGATAAATAATTACGCTACAGTCTACAGTAGAATACTTAAGTTGCCCTTCCCACTTTTATGCGGCAAGCGCATTTCTTTACCTATGCACAGAAAGACTCAAGCATTAAACAAGTTTACGTGACCTTAATAGAAGACTATAAACTGTAACGGAAAACATAAAAACGGCAACGTAATTCATGTAACTTTTAAAGTATCTATTACGTGTTTCTAAGCGTGGTGACATAAAGAAACCCGCAGAAATAATTCTGTTAAATCTGGACTAATATATGTAGTCTGTCAAAAACACGATTCACTTGATAGATCGAGAGGTTGAATGAGGGAATCTTAAGATATAAAGTAACGTTTCCTCAGATATGTTGGATGATAAGTCTTCTCTGGGCTAAGAAAAATTTAAGATCGAGTTAACTGTAGAGAAGACTGAAGAGATTAGACCAGGGAAATAGTCGTGCTGAATGGAGGAAAATTGGAGAGGCGTATGTCCAGCGATGGACGAACACATGCTGAAGAAGAAGAAGAAGAAACATCAATAATGCGGAATTCCATATTTAAATCTGTTTCATAGATAACCCACAACGTCTGTATTACAACAGCTACTAGAGAAGTTATATAGCGGCGCATATGCCAAGCCAATAATTCATGTATCAATTTCGCATAGCCCGCCTGAATTGATGTTTTCGTTAGCGAAATATAGCAATATGCGGTTATACGTAGAATGAAAATAATACGCAATAAGAGTTCACTGCTCATCTTTATATACATTTATAATTTTTCTGTACTTGTGTATGTCACTGAACTCCTCCTAGACGGCTGGACCGATTTTAATGAAATTTTTTGTGTGTCGGTCTACTACAATTTTTTTTTTATTTCTAAGTTGTGTGTACAGGTATGTTCGGTCCGCTAGTAGATTATAGATTTAAAGTGTGACATGAGATTTTTTTTGATGCCAGTCTATTATTTTCCATTGATCGGAATCACGATTGACCGCGGTTCGGAAACATTACAGACTTCTGATTCGAGGTATCTGTTGATAATATTACATTTATTTAAATTTATTGTAAATATGGAGTTATTTCTTGTATCTACGCGATTACACATTAAAAAAGTACAGTAGAGTAACAGCCTATACATGTCCCACTGCTGGGCAAAGGTCTATTCTGTACAGAGGGTATCATAGTCCACCACGCGACCCCACTGTGGGTTGGGGACTTCACATATCTTCGAAAGATTTTTTTTGTTATCTTTTCGAAAATATGCAGGTTTTCTTACGATATTTTCCTTCACCGCTGAGCACATATATTTTAATATGTATCATGGGAGGTGAAATCTATAATGTTTTATATGTATGTATATGCTAAAAAGGAATTTTATAAATCATAATTTCACGTTATTCCATTTAAGTTAGTTGATTTTAATTTATAATCTGTTTTTTAATTGGAGAATTGAAAGCGACCAGGCGATTTAGCTGATTTAAAGTGATTACGGCCGCCCATCATAGACTTCTACAGCACCTGAATACATAAAATTATGTGTTACAACTTAAAACAATAATCAATAAAATTTATTCAAACTTGAGTTGAGTAAGGTAACCTTTACCTTGTAATAGTGAACAA